TAGCACATGAAGACTGGTTGGCAACAGGAACAAACAAACTGCCAGAAAGAGTCCATCTGTCTGTCCTTTCTTCACATTAAGAGTACGTATACACAGAACATCCTCCACTCACAGCGTCTCAACAAGCTTCTGGAACAAAGAAACCAGTCTGGATCCAGGTCTGCAGCCATCACGCTCTGGTACAACCTGGTCAGTAGCACGACCTCCTTCTCTGTCCTCATCTCAGCCCGATCTCCGTCCACAGCCGTCTGCAGCGCCGCCCTCTCCCTCCTCCACAGCACCCTCTCTCTCTCTAAATCCTCTCCGGCTCTCTCCAGAAACACTCGGTCTCTCTCCACAGCCGCTCTGTCTCGTTCCAGAGTGACCGTGTCCCTGTTGGGCAGCTCTCTGTCGAGCTCGGCCTGCTCTCTCTCCAGAGCCCGCCCCTCTTCGTGCAGCTCCATCAGCTTCCTGTCCACCACGACGGCCTCCCCGACGATGTCTCTGGAGGAGGAGGGCGTCCTGTTGGTCTCTGTGGTGCAGTCAGGCAGCAAGGTGACGTATAGTTCGGAGTCTCCATCACATTTCTCCCGGCTGCAGCAACCTCCACAGGCGACTGGGTTCTGCTCGGGGCCTCAATGTTCCGGCACTCCACTCAGGTCCAGGACCTCCCCGAGGGTCCTTGCGTGCTGCAGAGTTCCCATTTCAGCTGCACTCAGTCCAGAAAAATCTCTTCCTGCGTTGGACAGAATGCAGTCTAACGTGAGCTTGCCTGAGACTCCACAACCTCATTTGGTTCTTCCTCAGTCGACCTTTATCTGCCCTGTAGAGTTCAGCACTTTCATGTTGTCCCACTTCTCTTGAGCTGCCGTGCTGACAACATCCCCTGGAGCCCCATCTCTCTCCTTATGGCCCTGCAGGAGAGAGAGTCCTCTATCAGAGGGGTGGAGGCCTGTGATCACACTGACTGTTGGATACAGCGTGTGACTGGTGGACTGTGGAGAAACCAGACCGACCTCCAGCCTCTCATGGAGTTCCTCCTTCCAGTGAAGATGGCTGCATTGGTGGCACGGAGCTGTACCATCAGTCCGATGTCTCTGTCTGTCACTATGGAAACAGATCTAACTTTATTTAGGTTGTCACCACCACATTAGTCTCTACTGGAGGACGCTGCCTCCTCTGTAGAGTTGTTGGAGTAAGAAGATCTCTGACTGTATCTATGAGCATCTCTCTCACTGTGTACTGTATCAAACAGAACCTACATTAATGTATAAATGTCTCAGTAGATCACTCAGTAGAGCCCTCAGAGCAGATCCCAGGACAGTTATCCCTGAAACCCCTGCCAGTAAACAGTGGACTGGAACAGACTGCCTTCAGTCATTTGCAATAATAATAATAATAATAATAATAAATAATTAATAATAATACAATTATTAATAATAATAAAATTATTACACACACACAGTACATGTTCAATATGTTAATCCAATAAAACGATAATAATAATAACAATAATTAATAATAATAATAATTAATATTAATAATAATTATTATAGTAATAATAATTAATAATAATAATAATTATTATAGTAATAATAATAAATAATATTAATAATAATTAATAATAACAATAATAATAATAATTAATAATAATAATAAACTAAAAATAATTAATAATAATAATTAATAATAATAATAATTAATAATAATAATAATAATAATAATTAATAATAATAATAATAATAATAATAATTAATAATAACTAACAGAAACAGTGCATTTAGCATTTTTAGCTAATATTAGCATCACAAAACAACAGCGCCGTCACAAATTAAACTTCCGGGTCGCTGTCAGTTTGTTTTTAACTATTATTAATTATATTAATAATATTATCTTTGAATAATATCACATTATATATTTAAATAACAATACTTCTGTGTGTGTCCTCCATCCGGCCGGAATCCAAACATCCGGCCCAGACCGGAAGAGAAACGGCTCTTCTTCTTCGCCTGCTTATTATCGGCAGTGGAGACTGACGGCGGCGCTGTTCTGCCACCTGCAGGCGGATTTTATATAATTATTAACTTATTAATATTTTATTAACAATAATACAGGAACATAATTCTTCAAATCATCTTCATCAATAATACAAGATCATAGTTAGAGAAAATAAACTTATATGAAGAGGATTTATTAGCTCCTCTTCATATAAGTTTGTTTATTTTATAATAAAATATTGTCAATTTATTGATTTGTAAAATATTTTCATGTTTTTTTTAACTTTATGTTGTTCTGTGCTCTAAGTTTAATTTATTTCTCCTTTTAACTTTCTGTTCACATGAAGCACAAATACATATGATAATAATAATAATTCTGTAATAAGATATAATATCTCTGTAAATACTGTAGATATAATAATAGTGTAAAAAGATATAATAATATATAATAATAGACATAATAATAGTGTAAAAAGATATAATAATATATAACATATAGTGTCAATAGATATAATAATATATAATAATAGATATAATAATATATAATAATAGATATAATAATACATTTTCTCAATAAATATAATGATAAATAAAGTGATTGATCGATAAATATATTGATAAATAAAGTGATTAATTGATAAATATATTGATAAATAAAGTGATTAATTGATAAATATATTGATAAATAAAGTGATTGATAAATATATTGATAAATAAAGTGATTGATTGATAAATATATTGATAAATAAAGCGATAAAGGAACTTTTCTTTAAATAATTAATAATTAACTAAATCCTTGGGCACTCAGTGAGCTTTGGGAACATTGATTAGACCTTTCTGATCAATAACCAATAACGAACATCCCACTGACTGTGAATGTGTGTGTCCTGTGCTCTGGGGCCCCCTGTAGGCAGCAGGAAGCTCTGCACTGTGAACCTGCTCAGCATCCTGCAGCAGCTCTGTCAACTTCACTGTATCCGGATTACATTACACCGGAAACAGGTCCAATATTTCAAAATTAAAGACTTTAAACAAAGAGTAGAAACTGATGATAATGTCACATTCCCAAATGTCAGATAATGTAAATAAATCTGCTTTAAAAGAGCGGGAACAATTGATTGATTAGTTGATTAAGAGACAGCAACAACATTTAAAAGAAATGACATTTTATTTTGTCAGAAACTGAAAATATTTTTGAATTATTAGCCAGTAAAATAATAACATATAAGTTACCTACGTCACCATTATAATCCATTCATTAATTCATTGAGAAACTATTTATTTTAGAATGAAAATAATCATAAACTGCAGCTTTATGTTAAATATTCTGGTGTTTAACTACTTTGAAATAATTTGAGCTGTTCTGTATTTGTTGTTGTACGTTTCATTTAGTTAATAAAGAACACAGAACGTGTTTCTGTTTCCTGTTTATGTTTGTCACAAACACAAACATATTCCACATTACATTACATGAAGTACTTAGTTACTTTCCTCCAATGCAGAAAATAAACAAACCAAACAACAACATATGTTTTTATATTTATCTATATGGGAAAAATACAAATATATATGATATAAATCCAAACATCAAAATAAAGCTTGAAGAGACCATGAGTGTGTGTTCTTTATGGGAACATCTGGCTGTGACACATCTGTGTGGAGAGGGAACAAAGGCGCGCTGGTATTTTATTTTGAAGGCGTGATGCGGAACCCTGTATCCTGGGTTAACTTGACCCGGGTCCTGGTGTTGGGGGTTGAATGAAGGATGTGATGGGCGGACGATGGAGGCCGTGATGAGTCTTAAATAAAACGTTTGTCAGAAATATCCGAACTCTGCAGGAGCTCGAGCTCAGCTGCTTCCTCACCAGGTAACCGGATGTGTTTATTACCTGCGATTATATGATCAGTGATCAATAATACAGCTGATCAGCACACACACTGACAACAACACGGCAGCGGCGGGCTCACGAACATTTAATGGCTCTTAATGGGGATTAACAGAATACATGTGTAACTAATAAATATGTCCTCCATCAGCTGTTGGACTCAATGAGTAATCAATAATAATAATAATAATAATAATAATATAGTTTCATATAAAATCAAAGCCTTTACTGAAGTAAAAGTACAAATACCACCATCTTAATTATAATCTATTATATCTATTAACTATAATACTGTAATAATAATAATACAGTAACAGGGAACCTTCAGGGAACCTTCAGGGAACGTACTGTACTTTATATACAGGGAACTGGTTTAGCCCACTGGTTCCCAACATAGGGCTCGAGGCCCTCCAGAGGGTCAGTTACTGTAGCTGCTTTACTCTACTCACATATGCTATATGCTAAGCTAACCTATGTTGAAAGAACCACATTTTAACAGAGAGAGACAAATATATCTTATTATTATTATTATTATTGTATTATTATTATTATATTATTATTATTATTATTATTGTATTATTATTATTATTATTATTATTATATTATTATTATTATATTATTATTATTATTATATTATTATTATTATTATTATTATTATTGTATTATTATTATTATATTATTATTATTATATTATTATTATTATTATTTATTATTATTATTATTATTATTATTATTATTATTATATTATTATTATATTGTTATTATTATTATATTATTATTATTATTATTGTATTATTATTATTATATTATTATTATTATTATTATTATTTTATTATTATCGTCTTATTGAATTAATGAAACATATTGAACATGTACTGTGTGTGTGTGTGTGTGTGTGTGTGTGTGTGCGTTACTGTGTGTGTTACTGTGTGTGTGTGTGTGTGTGTGTGTGTGTGTGTGTGTGTGTGTGTGTGTGTGTGTGTGTGTGTGTGTGTGTGTGTTACTGTGTTAGTGTGTGTTTGTGTGTGTGTTACTGTGTGTGTTAGTGTGTGTTACGTGTGTGTGTGTGTGTGTGTGTGTGTGTGTTACTGTGTGTGTGTGTGTGTGTGTGTGTGTGTGTGTGTGTGTGTGTGCAGCATCATGTTGGCCAGGAAGGGCCTCCTGCCGGATGGTTTCCTGCTGACCCGTCTGGCGGAGGAGCAGAACCAGCCGAACCGCAGCCGCGTCAGGTCTCAGAGAGCCCGCTTCATCACCAAGACCGGATCCTGCAACGTGGCTCACAAGAACATCCGGGAGCAGGTACGTCCCAACCAATGGGAACCTGTTCCCTGTGTGACTGTGGTTCCTTCCTCTAACAGCAGCTGCTGATCCATCTTCAATCAGCCAGTTCATACTGACGCCAGAGGAGATCAGCTGGGGGTATAAAGGTCAGGTGACGCAGTATAAAGAGCGACACAGTGTACGGAGCTGCAGACAAAAGATGGCGCCCGTCTGCAAGAGCTCGTGTTAGTTAGCCGCGCAGCTAGTCCACGTGTAGCAGGCGTCAGGACCGATTAACTTACAAAAACAATATTATCTGTAATAACTACAGTATACACTTTCTACTATAACAGTGAAAGGACATTAGTGTTTGATTTTTAGTCCATATTTTACTGTATAAATACAAGTTTTTACCATTAAAATAAAGTTTAGCCTCATGAAAATACCGTATGAACGCTGTATGAAAGGCTGAGACATGAGATATATGATATGTGATATAAGATATGAGATATGAGATATGTGAGATATATGATATACGATATAAGATGAGATATGAGATATGAGATATGGATGGCGGTGGTTTTCTGTGCAGTTTTACTCTCCTGTCTCTTCTTCGTGGGTTTCAGGGTCGGTTCCTGCAGGATGTTTTCACCACCATGGTGGACCTCAAGTGGCAGCACTCCTTCCTCATCTTCACCTCGGCCTTCCTCTGCTCCTGGATGCTCTTCGCTATGATCTGGTGGCTCCTGGCCTTCGCTCACGGAGACCTGGAGCCCCGTGACCCCAACGGCGAGCCGGGCCCCATCCCCTGCGTCACCGCCATCCACTCCTTCACCTCAGCCTTCCTCTTCTCCATTGAAGTCCAGGTGAGTGCTGGTCTTCCAGGTCCAGGTGTTTGTGCTTCGTTAGCTGTAGATGCTGACGTCCCGTCTGCCGCAGGTGACCATCGGGTTCGGCGGCCGGATGGTGACGGAGGAGTGTCCTCTGGCCATCACCGTGCTGATCATCCAGAACATTCTGGGGCTGATCATCAACGCCGTGATGCTCGGCTGCGTGTTCATGAAGACGGCGCAGGCCAACCGACGAGCAGAGACGCTCATCTTCTCCAGAAACGCCGTCATCGCTTCACGAAACGGTCGCCCAACATTCATGTTCAGAGTCGGAGACCTGAGGAAGAGTATGATCATCTCTGCCACCATCCAGCTGCAGGTGACGTCTGACTCTGAGCTAAACTTCACTGTGTATTTCTGACTGGAAGCTCTAGAAAGAGTGAGAGAAAGAGTGGGAGAAAGAGTGAGAGAAAGAGTGAGAGAAAGAGTGTGAGAAAGACTGTGAGAAAGAGTGTGAGAAAGAGTGGGAGAAAGAGTGAGAGAAAGAGTGAGAGAAAGAGTGTGAGAAAGAGTGTGAGAAAGAGTGAGAGAAAGAGTGTGAGAAAGAGTGTGAGAAAGAGTGTGAGAAAGAGTGAGAGAAAGAGTGTGAGAAAGAGTGAGAGAAAGAGTGTGAGAAAGAGTGTGAGAAAGAGTGAGAGAAAGAGACAGAAACGAGCTAAAAGAGATGAAAAGTCTTTATGCTAAGCTAACTGTCTGCTGGCTGGGTCAGAAGTTGAACTTGTTGCTGTCGCACTGAGGTGATTCACAGCGGCTCTGACCAGGACTCTGATCTCGATCGTAATCATAAATGTGTTCTGGTTTTCGGTCTGATGTCCTCAACCCTGATGGACAGACAACCTGCTACTGTTAGTTAGCTCCGTGAGCTGTGTAGCTAACGATACAGACACTCCTACCTGCGCTAACTAGCTAAAGGCAGCTGCAGTTAACAGCAGTTACTATAGCAACAAGCTATCTGTCCATAGATTATATTATTATTATTATATGATATTATATAAACATGATCCAGTCCCCCCCCCCACACTCTGCAACCGGTCACATTCAGAGCCCCGTCCCTACTCTCGCTGTTTGCACGCTGACTTTCCCTCCAGGTGATCCGGCGGACGGTGACGGCGGAGGGCGAGGTGATCCCGGTGTGCCAGCTGGACATCCAGGTGGAGAACCCTCTGAGGAGCAACGGCATCTTCCTGGTTTCTCCTCTGATCATCAGCCACACCATGGAGAGAGGGAGTCCGCTGTACGAGCTCTCCGCCCAGTCGCTGGCCTCCGAGGACCTGGAGATCGTCGTCATCCTGGAAGGTCGGGACCCACGCAGACCTGGAGTCTATTTTTCCTTTAGGATGTGTTTTTCCAAGTTCTAAACAACAACAACGTCAACAACAACAACAACATATAGAGAGTACTGCACAGCCTGTGAAACACTTAAAGATATAAAAGTCTGGGAATATTAAACACACATTGTTAAACATCAGAGCACTCATAATAATAATCGTATAGTCGTATTCTACACGTTGTTTATATTTCAGATCTTTATTTGACAGCAGTTGAGACTGAAATAATGACATCATGATGGAGATTCATAGAATGTCGGTTTAAAATGTTTGTTTTCTGAATGGAGTTTGGTTGATGAAGGCTATGCTAACTGTAACTATTGTTATCATTAAAGAATGAGTCTTCCTCGGTTTGTAGGTGTGGTGGAAACAACGGGGATCACCATGCAGGCTCGGACCTCCTACACTCCTGAGGAGATCCTGTGGGGGAGGCGCTTTGTCTCCATCATCACGGAGGAGGACGGCCGCTACTGCGTCGACTACTCCAAGTTCGGCAACACGGTTCCCATCAAGATGTCGTCCCTCAGCGCCAAGGAGCTGGACCAGACCAGGGGCATCCAGGAGGGCAGCTCCAACACAGGCCAGCTGCAGGGCTGGGGGCTGGTCCGGGCCGGCAGGGGGGGCTTCCGCAGGGGAGGCCGGACCTGCGATAGCTCCGCCCCTCATCCCTGGTACGCCCAATCAGAGACACCAAAGGAAGAGGTTGAGAAGAAGGGACAGAAGAAGAAGGTGCAGCTGGAGGTGATTGGACGACAGATAGAAGAGGACGGACTGGGAGAGATGAGCGACTGAAAACCAGGAAACAGGGAGCAGACTACAAACTGGATCCTACTCAGTGAACACGACATCCACTTCTTCAGGTCCAGATGGAGATGAGCCGGGAGGCAGAAGAGAAGATGGACGCCACTCTCATGATCTGTTCCACTCTTTGTACACGAGATATAACGTCAGTATGTCTCACAATGAGTCGGTATTTGACCGACATGGACATTAGATAGACATTAGAGCTGCTGGTAGGTGGATTTGGTTTGGACAGAACCAGGCTAGGTGTCTTTATGCTAAGCTAAGCTAACCAGCTGCTGGCTGTAGCTTTGTGTTTAGCATTCAGACGTGTGAGTGGAATCAATCTGAACATCTCCCTCTCAGACGCTTTCTTTCACTGAGTGAGGATAAACTCTCTCTCTCTGTGAAAGGAATAAGTACAATGTGCAAAAGGTGAATACAGAAACAGGAAATGACACAATCATGTACCGAATCCTGCGACCTTCGAATGTCACTGCCAGAGACCCTGCAAAAACTTTACCTAACCTTTCTATAACCGTATAGGTTATTACGTTATACAGGAAACACTTTATATTATATTGTACAACAATAAAAGCTTGTGGTTACATGTAATCTGTTTTTATTGTTCAGGCATGGCAGCAACCACTGCTTACTATTTATTCATTATATTGTATATAAGCCATATAAAGCTGGTGTGTTATAGGATGTTCTATAAGTCACATATGGGTTTAAATCCTACAGCAGATGATGCTCACTGTGACACTGCTGGAGTTTTACTGTCTATAGGCTGTTATTTATATTCTATTTTTTTAATTTGGTCTCAAGTTGATTCAATTTTATTAATTTCTCATCTGTGTTAATTATTAACGAGGCTGTTTCTGTCAGTTTCACCAGTGATGTAAGTTTGTTTCTGTTCTAATAAAATGCATTTGAAGCAATATTTTCAAGGCAAAGTTAAATTCTTTCTTCTGTTACTACGATCCGATAAATCTGAACTCCAACTGTACAGTCTTCAGTTCATACAGATTATTCTGAAAAACAAAGTGAAACACGTTGAGTTCAGATCAGGAGTCTGCAGACTTTACAGCACACCAAACAAATCTGCCCAAATTCTCTAGGATCCAGAGTCCAAAGCTCCCACAGCTAGTTATAGAGACTAATAATCACCGTTAATGAGGTCGGCAAAAGTCTCCAGGATGTACGAAATGGAAAAATAGGCTTTTCCTGGTGGAAACAGATAAAAATGCCCCACATCCATCTATTTATGTTTGTTTGTTTGGTCACTGTGTATGTTATTTGCCCCAGTGCGGCTCATTGTGCAACATGTTTTATCTGTTTTATTGTTGGTATTTATTTTTATTCTCTTTTATTTAACCTCACTTCTATATGATTTTAATTTGGCCTCCTGAGACGTTTTAATCCTGGTTTTGTGAGGCAGGTTTATTATTCGTATTATTGTAGTAAAGAAAGGACATAAGGAAGAATATTAGTTAATGAGGAGCAGATGGGATGTAGCTGCTCGTGGTCCTGACAACAGAAACCAAAGTAAAGATTGAACAAACGTAGAGCCACAGACGCCTTCAATCACATTTATTTATTTAAACTGTTTGTCAAATGTTTAATTTACAAAAAGCAGACAGCAACAGATCTGACACACTGAACACATGAACACACAGACGGCACCAATTGGAACCAGATGGTTGTATTTTAATATAGAAAAATAAATGTCACTGTAATAATATGAAAGATCCTCCTGTGAAAACAATCGATTGCAGCAGAAAAAAGGAGGACGAGAGACTGAAGAGATCTGAGAGTCTAACCAAACAAACAGTTTAGAGACAATTTATTTTGTAATGTGATCAGTTTCAGTTTTTAGGTCATCATCAAACAGACGTGAATATGAATTTGACATAAAGTCATTTTGTTCTGGATTTCCTGTTAAACTGAACATTAGTAAACGCAGTCGTTCTTTACTGACCTGAGAACCTGAAGGAGCCACAGTGACCTCACATTAGTTGGTGTTAACTCAAACAAGCTTCATACTGAACTACAACAACCTTCAGACCCCACACCACCAAACGCTCAGCAGGCTCGCTGCCGCAGCCAGGACGGGCGTTGCCGTGGTAACAGCATTGCCAGAGTTGCACAGGTTGCTGCTGCAGCAGCGGTACGTGAAGCTGGCGATGGACGGGAACATCTGGCTGAGGCGAGAGTTATCGCAGTCCGTGTACCTGATACACTGACGGATGGTCTTCCCCCCTGTAGACACACACACACACACACACACACACACACACACACACACACACACACACACACACACACACACACAGAGACACACACACACACACACACACACACACACACACACAACACACACACACACACACACACACACACACACACACACACACAGAGACACACACACACACACACACACACACACACACACACACACACACACACACACACACACACACACACACACACACACACACACACACACACACATACACACACACACACACACACACACACACACACACACACACACACACACACACACACACACACACACACACACACACACACACACACACACAGAGACACACACACACACACACACACACACACACACACACACACACACACACACACAGAGACACACACACACACACACACACACACACACACACACACACACACACACACACACACACACACACACACACACACACACACACACACACACACACACACACACACACACACACACACACACACACACACACACACACACACACACACAGACCACACGACACACACACACACACACACACACACACACAGAGTATTTAGAATATTTATAGTTTATTTTTCTGTCAATCAACTGATCAATTAATCGACTTTTAACTTTTACCAGCAGCTAAAGACGATAACGATTAATAAAGAATTTGAATGTCTGACATTGTTAGCTAGCTAATGTTAAATTTAGATTAGCTAGCTATTTAGCTATTATTTTTCGCAGTAGCAAAATGCTAACTACCTAGCCAGCTAATTTACATCAGCCGTTAGTTAGCTAGGTAGAGGAAGCCATTTTCTTTTTTCACTCAGTGCTAGCAGTACGTTTAATAAAGTAAATACTGACGATAACTGACCTCTTTCACTCAGAGATATACACGAGTCTTCAAACGTGCACTCCTGCACATTCTGACACTGTCCCGTGTAATCAGCGCACTTGTAGCAACGAAGTCCAGAACCTGAAAAAGAAGAACAAGAAAGAGTTTTTTAGCCGTTCGTACGGATCAACAGAGACACTCACCACTGTAGACCTGACAGCTGCCAGAAAAAGGTTTGTCACCAGCTTTAAGTCATGTCATGTTAAGTTTTAAAAAAAAAAATGAATGAAAACATCTAAAACGTCTAAAAAAACCTTCTTCAACATAATAAACCTCCATTGTTCATCGCTCGCTTCCATCTCAGCCTCCAGCAGCCGGTCAGTAAAAACTGAATGATAACCTCAAACTGTTTGACTACAGAAACAAATATTATCTTAAAATATAACAGTAAAAACAATAACAACAACACAAAAATTCCCTGTCGTCAGCCTGTAACAGCTGCTGTATCTGGTCCTGTTGACTGGGAGCTCCCAGTCCGACAGGGTCAGCTAATGGATCCACTACAGCTGCTGGACTGGGAGGACGTAACACACGTCTTCATTTATGTCTCGTTCCATGAACAACACATTCAGAAGTGTAAAGATAAGTTATTGTCATACTTGCACAAAGCTCAGTCATCTGCATAGAAAATAAAGGATGTGAACAAGCTGCTTCTGCTACGTCATTTATTTCCAGTAACAACAATAAAGGACCAATAAAGCTTTAGCCGGCAAGTTGGCACTACGTTAAACACTTCTGGCTGTAGTTGTATTCAGTGTCACTGTGATTGTTCTGCTTCAGCAGCTCTGCAGAACCTCAACGTCACAATTACATCAAAAGTCTCCATTTTCTCACAGTGAGATAATAATTACTCAAATTAACTGCAAAAACAAAACTTTGTACTATTATACCAAAAGTTATACTATTTTAGTCTCATCAGCCGTGTTGGGCAGTAACTCATTACTAGTAGTAATTTTACGGTAATGATATTACTTTCTACAGTGTAACTAAATATATACATTTCAGTAATAATATTAAGAAATAATTAGTTCCAGCCTCACTTATATTGTCTCGTACTGATCCTCAGATTCATTTCTGTAATCGTGGAGGAAAATAGTTTGGAAGATGAAACGCTGGAACTATTCGATTACTTTGATTTTAATAAACAAAACTGGATTTTAATCATCGTCAGTCTGAATTTTTGGGAGAAAAAACACAATTACCAATTTTGTGGGGAGGAGCAGAAAGTAATATAACTTAGTAGTGTAACTAATTACTGTTGGCGGGGATTAATAAGTAATAAGTGATAAAATACATTATAGAGTAATCAGGCCAACACTGCTTATCAGAGATATATTATAGGTAGAAGTCCAATTTCTACACTGCTGCAGTTCTCTGAGGGTTTTAACTTTGGGTAAACATTATAAGTCTGTTTTTATTGGTACTGTTTGTGTAGCCATCAACTGAAATGAACTATTAGCTGTATTGTGCTTTTATCTCTTGCAGTCTTTTACACATTTATCTTCATTGCCTCTATTATAAACCATTTATTTACTGCTTCTCAAACCTGCTACATACGGCGGGGTATCAGTTCGGGACACATTAGTGTAAATCAGGGTGTGATGTGGTCCACTCACCCAAATGCAGCATCCCAAAACAGAGGAGCAGGAATAATCCAAGGCAGCGCTTCATGGCGTCTCCCTGCGAACGAGAGGTGAAAGCAGACGGGAGAAGGAGTCAGGCTGTGGCTGCAGAGCGTCCGGCTGGGGTTTGGCGTCCGATCTGGTTCCACTGTGACCCTGCGAGGAGAACGGCTCTTTGTCCAGCGGACCACAAAGACACCCTGTCTGGCCAAACGTCCTCCTCCTCCTCCCCCCTCCAACAATTACTTGGCCGCTGCCTCACTGAGGCTTATTGTGGCTGTAGTACTCTGTAATCTATTTAAAGGTCTTCTCGTTCCATTCCCGTAGCCGGGTTAACTCCGCTGTGTTGTGATGAACATGGTTCTGACCCGGGACAACCTCACACATCTATCACACTCCACATGTTATTCAGGTTAGAAATTAATAGTTTTACTCACGAGGTTCAACTTTGTTATAAAACAGATCCTGTCAGTTTGAGATGATCAGAGAAACTAACGGTTTTAGCCAACTATAGACCGATTTCTAACCTCCCCTTCCTCTCTAAGATTCTGGAGAAAGTAGTCGCCAAAGAGTTGTGTGACTTTCTACATAACAATAGCTTATTTGAGGATTTTCAGTCAGGATTTAGAGTTCATTGCACGAGTACTGACAGGAACTAGAAAAAGAGATCACATCTCTCCTGTACTAGCTTCTCTGCACTGGCTCCCTGTAAAATGTAGAATAGAATTTAAAATCCTCCTCCTCACCTATAAAGCTCTTCATGGTCAGGCCCCTTCATATCTTAAAGAGCTCATAGTACCCTATTACCCCACTAGAACACTACGTTCTCTGAATGCTGGGCTACTTGTGGTTCCTATAGTCTCTAAAAGTAGAACAGGAGCCAGAGCCTTCAGTTACCAAGCTCCTCTCCTGTGGAACCAGCTTCCGGGTGTGGTTCTCTCTCTCTCTCTCTCTCTCTCTCTCTCTCACCCCAACTGGATCGAGACAGACGACCACCCACCTAGAGCCGGAGGATCTGTCCTAGGTTTCTGCCTTTTAACAGGCAGTTTTTCCTTGCCCTTGTCTCCAAGGTCTTGCTCATGGTGGAACTGTTGGGTCTCTGTAAATAATGTTTTAAAGAGTTCGGTCTAGACCTGCTCTATTTGAAAAGTGTCCTGAGATAACTTCTGTTATGAATTGGCGCTATATAAATAAAATTGAAATGAATTGAATTGAACTATTGATCAGCTTCGTCCGATGTTGATCCACAGAATGTTTGGTAGCAGTCGGTTCCGGAGGTTCAGGAGGAGGCAGCAGAAATGTGTTGGCCGACTTTAGTCGTCCAAAAGGGTTTCTGTAGAGTGCAGTGGGACGGTGTGAGGGGGCGTAGCCCACAGCGCCACCATCTGGCTGACTGGGCTCATGTTTCTTGGGAAGCACACACATTATTTCCTGTTATTGGACCAAGTTTCATGTTTGTTGATCAGCTCACAGGAATCTGATCTAATCATCTTGTGACCTTAAAAAGTGAGTTAATGATTGTTGAATGTGCAGCGCTGGGATTTTATAACTCAGCTATGAGCAGTGACAGACAGACTGTGTGACAGACACACAGACCAGGAACTCATACATTAGTTAAACAAAATGTCGTACAGGGAAGAGTTTGGATTATGGGAGTAATGTAACATTAAAGTATATGTATATTGTTTGAATTCATTTTCAAAATGGTTTATAATTGGAAAATGTAGATTCATGTGCAGGATGAGTGATTTTCTAAGAAGATGATCAAACTGCTGATATATGTTTTATAGCCAAATAACACATTGTCATATGAAAACAATATACTGGGAAATTAAAGCACAAGAATGGAGAAATGCATTAAAACAATGAGGCTGATATTGATCGGCTGATATTGATCGGCTGATATTGATTGGCTGATAGTTTATATGAAAACTGTTCTGTTTTGGTTTTTTATCCAATCAGGTATCAATAATCTGGGATTTCTCTGGTTTCCAAAAGCTTTATTAGTAAAGTTTACTTCTCGCAGAGGTTCGGCCCCCATTAGTGGCGCAAAGTGGGAAAGAATTTCAAGATAAGAGTTATAATGTTTTACAGTAAGAGCCTTTTAGCTTTCATGCTAACTTTTTAAAAGGTTTCTTTAAAGGATCACAGTCTCTCCTGCACGAGTTAAAGGAACCAGGACGATGCTTCATCATCACTATATTCAATGGCAGTCCAGTACTTTGTGTTCAATAATAAGGGAAGCATTCAATTATTCATGTTATTAATGTATTTTAGGTCAGTATAAAATAACGGAAGAGTTAACAAAGCAAACATAACCAGAGTCCTTAAATGTGAACCTCAACTCAGCCCACATTAAAAGCTCCAGTGGGTCACATTACTGAACACTTCACAACCCGTTCTCATTCCCAGGTCGTCAAATACAGACGTGAGTGGTATTCAGTTGGTTGTAATCTGCAACCTCACTACTAGATGTCACTAAATCCTCCACACTGGTCCTTTAACCCGGTCCTCTCTGCTGTGGGAGGCGTTGGTTTGGCATGTGAGTGTTTTTGTTCTGAATGCTTTCAATCTGGTTCAGACAGTTTGTTTCAGTCTCAGTGACAAACAGCATCAAATAGCATCTTATCTTGTTTTCTTTATTTAATTTTCTTAATTTTGTTGTATATTTGTTATTTTCCAGGTTTTCCAGGACCTTTGGGAACTCTGTAAAAGTGCTGATGTGAACTCTTCACACAACATCTCATTTATAGTTATGTTATTCATCTAGACCCCATTTTATTATATATAGTGTTTATTTTTAATATATATTTATTGTATTTTTGTTTTATTACACTTTATTGTATTTTTATCCTTTTCCTGCTCTTTGCATTACATCCCTCTGTGCTTTTGAATCTGAATTTCCCCTACAGGAGATCAATAAAGGAACAACTCACTTATATCTGCAGACCATAAAACATTTTATTGAAAGGAACTTTTAAACCTTTATTTATATTTTCTGCTGTATTTGTGTGTATAAATTGTGGAACAATATTTTAACTATCACTAATTATTGGATTTATTTTAAAAGGCGCCTGTGTCATTTTTCTTAGAATTTGGGTTCCTGAGTTTTTTTACTTGAATTACAGCCCTACATCAAACATATAAATCATCACAACCTGTTCACTCATTGGCACTAAAATGTGTTCAATACATAAAATAATCCATAAAATCTTACATATAGAACCTTTAAGTTTGTGCTGAAAGTCAGTAAAAATGAACCACACTGAACCAAAAACATCAATAAACAGATAAAAACGGACGTAAATGATGTTGTCGAAGCATACGTTGTGTAAAAGCTCACAGGTTGTACAGACTCTCTCTCAGTGTGACGACGGAGAAGAAGCAGACTTGTCTGTGCAGGGTTGGTTGGGGAGGATGTGCTGGTTGTGTATCAGTCCCAGGGTGTGACAGACGGGAAGGTCAGCTGCTGCACACAGAGGAGCGACTGTATCTGCATCCAGCTGCCGGCTGAAGCTGCACCGAGGCCTTTTGTCCAAACATTGCTGTTTCATTTAAACTACTTCACTTTCCCCGCAGTTACCAGTGAAGAATGAATCCAATAAATAAACGCCACACGGCTATAATAGAGAGACACTGAGACTATAGTTTATTTATTTGTATCCAACAGGACGCCTTTTGAAACCATAAGGATTCACTTTTCAGGGCTATAAATTAAAGTTAAATACGTCAGCTGAATGTTTTTGACCAGTGAAAGAAATCACTGCTTTCATGCAGGTTTAGTTCATTAATTAGAGTCAAATACACCTTAACCCAACACAGTGAGGAGGTGATAAAGGACGTGCTTATCAAAGGACCTTTAAAACACTAACAGAGACGGTTTAATGAGTTTTATTCTGTTTCTGTCCACTTTAATGAAGTTACGATGATCTGAAGGTAAAATGAGTGTTTCTGTCTCTGGAGTCTGGTGGAGAGTGATAGTGATATTACAGCTGTTTGTGGTTAAACTAAAGGTCTATCTCTGTAGGGATCCTTTCCATAATGCTGTCAGACACTGACAATAACACACTTTGAATGGCGCCAGGAATACGTTGCAGCCAGTTTTGCGAATATTTCACGTCTACGTCAGTGAATTAATTTATTTCCACCAAACCAGAGTCGGTGATTGTCAGAAAGACTAACAGAGACGGTTTTAATGAGTTTTATTCTGTTTCTGTTCAGTTCTCTGATGATCTGCTAGGTAAAATGAGCGGTTTTGTGAATGGAGTTTGTTTTGGCCTGAGAATCAACTGATTGTTTCACTTCAATAAAGTTTTGAATGCAGGACTTGGCCGGAGAATCGGGGCAGCAGGGGCGGTATTGCGGTCGCTTTATCGCACTGTTACGAAAAGAGAGTTGAGCCGAAAGGCTCAACCTCTTTGTCCCTCTCTTTGTTCCTACCCTCACCTATGGTCATGAGAGATGGGTCACAAGATCCCGGGTACAAGTGGCCGAAATGGGTTACCTCAGGAGGGTGGCCAGCGTCTCCCTTGGGGATAGGGTGAGAAGCTTGGTCATCCGCCAGGGACTCGGAGTAGAGTCACTTCTCCTTTGCGTAGAAAGGAGCCAGCTGAGATGGTTCGGGCATCTGATGATGATGCCTCTAGGGCGGTGTTCCTGGCACGTCCAGCTGGGAGGAGGCCACGGGGCAGACCGAGGACCAGGTGGAGGAATTATATCTCCACACTGGCCTGGGAACGCCTCTGGATCAGTCAGAGTTGGCCGATGTGGCTAGGGAAAGGGAAGTTTGGGGTCTTCTGCTGGACTTGCTAACCCCGCGATCCTGGATAAGCAGATATTTTCAAACTGTGGTATTATTACTTTTACCAAAGTATCTGGATACTTCCTCCACCACTGCATACAATCAGAGGTAATGTTAGCATTGTGTGTCTATTTTTACAGATGCAGACTGTGTTAAACACATTGAACTTACCTGTTGAATGAAAGCTTCTTCACCTGAGTGTCGTGGTTGGAGGGAGGGGAGCCAATCAGCACCTCTGTGGATAGAAAGAGGGATTTTTGACTTTTGTCACTCAAAGACAAAGTTGTCTTAAAGCAGAAACAGACGCTATCAGCTTGTATCGTACAGTGCATGTGAGGAACGTGTGAATAAAGGTGATGTCAGAGTCCAGGCAGCTGCAGACTCATGGAGCGAGCAGACGCCTGAGGACAAAGATCATTTCATTAAAGCTCGTCAGCAAACAAAGAGGTCCCAGTCTCAGCAGCAGCCAGCATCCATTCACTTTCTGACACACTGACAGCAGATCAATGCTGTTCATGTGGACAGCAGTTCAACGTTTACAGTATTACTGGCTGTCAAACCTCTTCCTGCCCTCATTTATTTATTCATTTCTGTGGGTTTTTCCTTCCTTTTCTTCAGACTTGAGTCCCAGCGGCTGTTAAACTCAGCAGGAGAAATCTTTTGACGCTCTGTCTCCTGGACAGCGACACGTCCTCCCACATACAGAACCTCTGATCCAGCCCGGGTTTCCGTCCTCCACCTCCTGCTGGGCTCCTCTGTAGACTCTTTATTAAAGGTTTATATGCAACTTTCAAAAGTGACATGAACTAGACTGAACACTGGAAAATAAATTCCTATATTAGTCATATTTACAATAACGTTAATGTCGGTAATGTGTATATTTTATCATGTATGTCTGTGAATTAAGGATTTATTTATTTATTCATGGGAGGGACAGTGTAAATGAGCTTTGGCTATAAGTGCTGCAGCGTGTGGTATCTGTTTATGTGTCCATACACAGATAAACAACTGAATAAATAACGTTGTTATCAGCATTATATATCTGCATGTTACACACTGGACCTTTAACATAACACTTCTATCTTTTAGATTCATCAGAAACATCATTAGCACATTTATAACGGATATTAACCTCTATTACAATTCTCTTGCTAAGCTTAAATATATAAAAAACAAAAACCCAACTAATATTTGAAACATATAAAATGATTGATTGTCAATAATTTTTTCTGTGTCCATTTATTTTTTCTTTGTATCGTTTTTCTTTTATTGAATGTTTCTTCCACAATCTTCGTACTGAATGTATTTTATTTTTATGTTATATTCATGTCTATATTATTATTATTATTGTTTAAATGTGATTATCAATAAAGTTGTATTTAAATAAATCAACAGACTGGAAACAGAAATTAATCTTAAAACACACGTTGGATTTAATTTACATTCATAAAATAAAGATCTCATACTGTTACTATTACTTTTACATATATAATTTATAAAGATTACATTATATCTGCACTGTATATTTATAGTATTTAAACAAACCTTTAAACCTTTAAACAAACTAATTGTTGAAGTTATTGATCAAAGTTATTTATAGCAAATTCTTTGCTCCAAATCTAAAAAACTGGTTTAACTGGAATTAAACAATTCAGGTTGAACTAAATTTATTTACATTAAGTCAACAAAGACTTGAAATAACGCAGAAAATAAAAGAGTTAAATTATTTACATTGAGTCAATGTGAAATATTTTGTGTGATTAATTACTGATTATTGTTTTACTTTTTCTTTGTTTCACCTTCAAACGAGCAGAAACTCTTTAATATTTCTCCCACTTTAGTTAATTAATGACCTGATGTTTGTTTTCTTTGTCTTTTTTTGTAAAAGAACTGAATCTGAAAACTATTATGTTCTATTAAACAAAATATTTTTCAATAAAGTTTAGAAAAAAGCAACCTTGCAATATTATATCAGGACAGCTCCTATAAAGTATATATATCATAGGAACTGTAGTTATAAACCTCAGAGCACCACAAACACCACAAACATGCAGTCCCTTTCAAATATAAAGTTATTTAAAACCATTCACAGATATTATCCAACAAATTCCACAATGTGTGAATATATTGCTAATATAGAATATAATGCTCCTAATGTATTAATATGTTATCATAAATACTTTATTGATCCCCTTTATTGGTTCTGTTACAGGGGCAAATTCATTAAAAAAATAATAATATTTATTTTCTTATAATGTCTTCTTTAGCAACTTGAGCAACTGTAACAGAACCAACTTTTCCTTAAAGAACATAATCTGTTGTTAATGTTTAATAATCCTAATTTCTCCGGCTAACTAATCTGCATCAGTCATTAGTTAGCTGGTTAGATAACCACCAGCTAACTAGCATTAGCTACATAATCTACATTCATTTTTACAGTTTTTTTTTACAGGATGGTGAAGTCCTGACCTGAACTCTGATTGGTCTGATTCCCATGACGTTCGCACACTGACCAACAGAAATAACCACTAACCAACCAAACCAGTGAAGGCAACGGCAATCAGCCGGAGTAAGGTCGTCATGACAACAGCAGTAGTATCCATTCAACATGGCCGACAAAACTCCTTCAGATAAAATGTCTTTTAAAGTGTATTTTTAAAGCTTTTGAAACAGAAATAAAAACAGTTTACAGAGAAATAAAGTCACCACAAATGTTCGTTCTGGTTCGTCTGAAACCAAAATTCAACTCCAGCAGTGAAAAATCTCACAGTTCAGCAAACATCCAACAACGTAAAGTCGACTCCGATCAGCTCTGGAGTCAGATTACAATCAGCCAAACGTCGGTATAAAGATGACCAGCCGGTATAACACCTACACCATACGGCTAGCACAAAGTATTGGCATTCATAAGTCAAATGCTTTTGGATTGAAATGATCAAACTTCAGTCTTTTGTCTCATCCTGCATACAAACATTAGGCTCTTAAAATCAGTTTTATACAGTAATAATAACGACATGCATACGATACAGACATGCACAATATGTAAAAACAAAGGGTTCATCTCTGGGTGAAATGAGAGGAGCTAATCATACAGCAAACATTAAGAGACAGTTTGACATTTGAGGACAATATTCACTTTCTTGTGAAGGAGGAGATTAGCTTAGCTTAGCATAAAGATAAATCAACACACTACAGATATTTAGAGATGTTGGGTGGCATATTTTTTAGCTTTGGGCAGAGCCAGGCTAGCTGATTCTCCCTGCTTTCAGTCTTTATGCTAAGCTAAGCTATTCACCTCCCTGCTCTATGTCATCAGAATGGGAGGGGCAGGGAAATTCCTGTTTTTCCGACTTATTCCAAGATGGCTAACCCCATTGGTATTCTTTTAGTCGCAATATTTAAACAGCCTAAATTAGCTTCTTTTGCTTTGTTAGCTATTGGAAGCGAAACCAGATATAAAAAAATGATGCGTTCAATTTGAACTCCAAAGTTTATTTTATTGTTGCTGTCAAAAACGGTTCCTGACGTTAACAGTTTTTCAGAAACATAATGTATAATATATATATGATATGATATTATTTGTATATTATAAATACTATATAATGCTATAATAATATGACATAATGCACATTAATTACAGGCATAAGATTGGGAAAAGGAAATATTTGCATATTTCCCAAAATGTCAAACTGTTCCTTTAACTTAAGACAAAACACATTTTCCCAAAAAATGTGTTAAAAAAAGAAAGTAAACCAGCAAAAGTGACCATCTGCCTGCTGAGGTCATCCTGTCTCAGCTCATTGCATCCCCACCATTTTATATTTATTTCAGCCTTAAACATTTTACTACTAATAATAATAATAATGATAAAATACGACTTAAATGTGCAGTAAAAACTATCATCATGCAGTTTTTGAACCTTATTTGACTTATTTTAAGCCTGAGCTTTGGCCAAGACTGAAGTTACTCTGCTACAAACACCCAAACATGAAGCTGATGCGTCAGTGAAAAATAACATATTTCAGATATATCATTTGCAGCAGTAAACATCTAAACAAATATGGCCAAATACAGTATGGCATAGCAGGATAGCACCTTTTTCTTTCGGTTCTTGCAGTCGATCATTATGGCACAATCATCAAATTCAAGAGAAAAATACTCTCCTTAAAAACAGGCTTAAAAGCATTTACAACATATACAGTTTATACACTATATACAGTGTGGAGCAGGGTCGTCTGCGTTTCTAATAGAAATATAAAGCCTTTATACATCCTCACACTCAAGCTTATTTATTCCAGGCACTACATGACTGAATATCCCATTGGCAAATAAGCTGAAGAAGCAGAGAGCGGCTCATAGCACAGACATTTAGTTTGACACTAATTGATTGTTCCCAGCGAATAACTGACTTTTATTCTGGCAACAAGTGCTTTATTATTATGTATAACAAGTGTGGGGCCACTCAGTAGCACTCCGTTGGACAATGCTCATCAGTGAAAGACGTCAGTCAGCCAGAGGAGGAAGATTTCAGCACAATATCCAGCTGAACATGGACGGATTATGAGACAGTGGGTCCCTGGGACACACACATAACCACCACACAGCTGCTTAGTAGTTTGCAGTTGGTGGTTGGTTTGCGTCTCTTTGTATCTTTTTTATGTCTCTATGGTTGTCTGTCTGTTTGTACTCATTTGGTGTCTCTTTGTGCCCATTTTGTTCTTTTGTTGTTTGTTTTGTTGTCCGTTGTTGTTTTGAGTCACTTGGTCGTTTTGTATCTCTTTGTTGTTGTTTTGTGTCTCTTTGTAGTCATTTTGTGTCTCTCTGCAGCTGTTTTGAATCGCTTTGCATTTATTTTTAAATTTCTTTTGCTGTTTTGTGTCTCTTTTAGTGACATTTGCGAGTGAAGCCCAGCCTAAGGCCTGTTTGTAATCCATCCATCCAGCTGAAGATATTGAGGAAAGAGGTTCGCCCAGTGGTGTAGAACAGCGGTTATCCCTACAGTCCTATGAGATGGGTTATCAACCTTCATGGTTTTGTTCAATAGTGTCACTGTAAAGAAATCACTGCTGTGTGTGAACCAACACATACAGTCAGTGTTTATCTTTATGCTTGGTCTGTTTCTTTTATTTTGTAAAGTTTGCCTGTCGTAGTGCCATTTAGAATCACAGAAACTGGATATTTCAACAATTTAGAGCATCTATACTTTTAGCTTTCTGTTGTCTTTTTTTCTAAGCAGTCTTAATAAAGGTACAATGACTCAGGTTGGTGGAAAACTGAGGTGTGTCTTGTGCAGTCAGGCTACCAAGAGTACATAGCTGCAGAAAAAAACTGTTGACTTCCACCTCTGCAAGAGCATGTGCAATCTCTGTTACCTTAGTGTAAACCAAAACACAACAACTTAATTTACTAAATTTGGTGAAATTGGATCGTATTTTATGCAGAAAATATTCCTCTTATGTCCTCTGGCTGCTCTGCCTCAACTCTATATGGAGTTTCCTGATGGTCAGATAGCTTTACTTATTGCTAAAGTAACACTAAACGCTAACTACTGCTAACTTTAGCTGCTGTAAGCTGAGTTAGCTCTGCAGCTAAAGCTACTTTGCTAGCAACACCGACACTGCCCCAGTGCTCAGGTCTCCCAGTCCGGGTACAGTGGTCAGTATGTCTGCTGTCACGACTGCTAAACTGAGGTAACGGAGGTACCGTTTACGCATGCTCTTCTGGAGGTCCACCAATGTCTGCATCCAGGTCCCTCTCAGTTATTGTTACTATAACTATACTAAAGATTCAGTCATAATTACTATGTTTCAAATTAGCTGAGCTTTACAATCTTTTCATGTACCCTCAGGTAACTGCAGTTGCTCCTGGTGTACAAGAACTCCTGGCTGGGAATCACTGGTGTTGAGGAGCACTGCTGACTCTTTTTGTTATTGTGGCCTGGTGTTGTAATATTATTACATTAGTACTACACCACTGGGTTTGCCTGTTAGATGTCAGGGTAGAACTCTGTATTGACGTCAACGCTGTGCAAGACAGACTTTTGATCTGACATCCTGTTCAACACCTCAGCTGACAGAGAGTAACTGCTGCCAGACTTCTCCTCAAACCAGCTGTCCAACGCTCGCTTCCCATCAAAGTTAGAGATGGGCGGTCCATTAACTGCCACAGTCAGCAGGTCATTCATCTGCTCCAGAGTCAGCCGGGAACGATTGTTCTTACACATTTTCTGTAGAGATACTCTGCCTTTATCGCAGCAGGTTGTGGAACTGGGCTGGACCCTGACAACCTGCACAATCCGATTCAGCAGAGGAAAACGCTGCTTGTACCTACAGATGTGACCAATGACCTCTTTAAAACCATTCATACTGCAATAGTCCTCTTTCAGGTCCTTCCATTCAACCACAAGGCTGCCCCTGGCTTCTGTCCTGGCATGGGAGCCTTCCTGACCCACAGACGGAATGGACTCCAAGTGATTGAAAATCATCTGGATTTCTTCCTCCCCATAAGCTTGTAGGTCCTCCCGGTTGTGGGGCCAGGTGGACAGGTCCAGGACTTTGCAGGCTTTGGCAAATGAACGACTCTGCAGGTCCAGCCTCTGAGACAGGATGCCCTGGCTCCTGTTGCAGATCTTTTCTCGGATGGACTGGAACTTGGACTCCGCCACACGGAGGTTCTTCAGAGCAACACCGTTGAAACTTTCACGAAAATTTTCCTCAAACTCCTGCAGATACTCTCCGGGACAGTCCACCAACTGGCCAATCTCCAGAATGGCCTCCTCTATCTTGGCTTCCACTTGTGACACCAGCAGGTACTCTCCCTGAAAAGTGAAGGCTAATCGTGAGAGAACGGCTATGATGTCCAGAAGGAAGTAGATGAGCTTCACTGACTGATAGTCCATAAGGAACTGGAGGAGGGTAAGTGCGATGGCTGCAGCGTCAGCCCTCTGCGTCTGGCTGCTGATCTCCTTAAGATGGGCAACTACCTCCAGGTAATCTTTGATTAGCGCGTTAAGGACATTTGGTTCTCCTATGATCCATCTAATTGCTCTAATGTCTCCCAGGAACTCTGTCTCCTCTGACAGTGTTGGAGCAGTGGATCGCAGTTCGGCCATCATGCGAGGCGAATAGCGGTAGAAACTGAGTAGCTGCTTAAGGTTGTTCTCCAGATCCTCCAGGCAGGAGAGCTCCTTCCCACTGATGCCATCCAGCACCTCCAGATGGGGCCGATGGATCATAATAGGAAGGCAGAGGATCCAAGGGAAAGTCTTTTGTACAGCTATGTACAGGTTGGCTCTCATTCCTGAAGACATGTTGGTGCCATCTACCCCAAGACCCACCACCAGCAAGTCCTGAAACCTGAGGCCTAGGACACCAAAGGCACGATCCATAGCCTGGAGGTATCCATCCACACTGGCCATGCTCAGTCTCTGCAATGACAGGAACTCTGTGTTCGGAGAGCCCTCATTGGTAATAAACTGGACATAGACCGCCACCATGTCTGAGAAAAGGTCATCATTTTGGGCGTCCATTATGACACTTAGGAAGGGAGAAAGGCGCATCTTCTCAGCCAGATCTTCTTTTAAAGCCCGGGCAATGTGGTGGATGAGGATCTGACCGTCTCCTTCATTCATGTACTGGTCCACCACTTTGAGTTCACACCTCTTCAGAAGCTCTGCCAGTGGACGGAGGTCAGAGAAGGGCCTTCCCTCCAGGGCCAAGTGGTATGCTGCGTTGAACAGCAACATCATGTTCTTGCACATCTCCTCTGTCTTTTCTGGATGCATGCGCAGCTTATACAGCTGCAGACACTTCTTATGGAGGTTGCTTTGGCTATGCAGCTTGATGGTGTGGATCTTAAACTGCTTTGAGCCGATGATGAAGGCAGACGTTCGAGATGACTGGACGGTGTACTGGCGGCAGACGTGGCACCACATCTCGTTGAGGGTCGGCGAGTAGCGAAGAAACCAGAACTTTTTCAGCCACTCCTGCTTGAAGCGGCGAATCCGTCTGCCTCCTCCAGAGGAAAGCTTCGAAGGATCTTCTGGAGAAATCACAAGATCTGCAGCAATTGATTCATCGGCTGAGTCCACGTCCTGGTCATCTTCATCCAGAACCACCTGAGTCGGAGTCAGAGGCTCCATCCCTGCAAAGAAAAACAAAAACTACTTCAACCACCTTGGAGTAATTCTTCTTCAAAGGCCCAGTGTGTAGGATTAATTGGCATTAATGAAATTGCAGATTGCAACCAACTGATAACCCCTCGCCTCCCCCTCCCCTTCCAAGCATGTAGGAGAATCTACGGTGGCTGCGAAAAATTCAAAAGAATTAGAAAATCCAATGGATGTGATGTTTAAGTACGTTCTCTCTGGCTTCTCTTTCCGCTTCCTCTACAGATAACATTAGTTTGCTAACAGCCACTGGTGGCGCTGTTAGCTACAGTTTAATGAACGACCACTGGAGGCGCTGTTAGCTACAGTTTAATGAACGACCACTGGTGGCGCTGTTAGCTACAGTTTAATGAACGACCACTGGTGGCGCTGTTAGCTACAGTTTAATGAACGACCACTGGTGGCGCTGTTAGCTACAGTTTAATGAACAACCACTGGTGGCGCTGTTAGCTACAGTTTAATGAACGACCACTGGTGGCGCTGTTAGTTACAGTTTAATGAACGACCACTGGTGGCGCTGTTAGCTACAGTTTAATGAACGGCCACTGGTGGCGCTGTTAGCTACAGTTTAATGAACGACCACTGGTGGCGCTGTTAGCTAGATTAATAACATAACAAAAAAAACACGACCAGTTCCATTGCTAAATACAACAAGTAGATGGTTTAAAGAATCAGATCGAAGACATTTGGCTCTTCGTCAGAACATAATGTTTCAGAACAAACCTTGAAAGTCTTCGATGGGGCCTTGCTCCGGGTGGGGCGGTCCGGCCTGATCATGCTGGGGCAGATTCTGTTCAGACATTGGTGCACCGACCACGTCCCCCTGTTCTCCTCTGAGACGGGACAGCTCCTCCTCCAGCTCCAGGATCCTCCTCTTCAGTTTGACACAGTTGGGGCAGAAGGAGGTTGAGGGCTCCTCGCTGCTCTGGTTCTCCTCCTCTTTCTCCTCCACCTTTAGGTTAGGAACGTTAAAGCTGCTTTCAGCCCCCGGCCCAAGCACCGCTGTTTTACACTCACTGTGGAGGGAAGACTGGGACCTGGACTTGCTGGAGTCCTCTAGAGAAGCCTCCAGGACGTCTTTGAAGATGAGGTCGATCTTCTTCCTCTTGGCAGGAGGCTGGTCGTCTGGCTCTTCGCTGGGTTGTTTGCTGCCCTGCAGAGCCGACTGCAGACACGGAGATTTAAAGTCCTTCTGAATGTTGGGAAGGACTTTCGGCTTCCCAGTATCTGGAATTAGACGGTTTCATTAGCTATGTCAATGGAAAACACAGTTGTGGTGGTCAGTAATTGAGCAAATGAGTTACTTTTCTCATTTCAAACTAAAGTGAAACACACAAAAACCCACAGATTGGCAACCAGCTTAGACTCTCAAACTGATGGGCTGCATCTCACATGTCATAAACTTTTGTTATGAGGGAACTTGATTCTGAAACAGCAGCCCTATGTTGTTGTTAGAGTTGGGGTCTGTCCGAGGTTTCTGGCTCTTAAAGGAAGTGTTTCCTTGCCGCTGTCTCCAAGGTCTTGCTCATGGTGGTACTGTTGGGTCTCTGTAAATAATGTTATAAGGAATTCGGTCTAGACCTGCTCTATTTGAAGTGTGCTGAGATAACGTGTGCTATGAATTGGCACTTTACAAATAAAACTGAATGTTATTGACAGTATTATTACATTATTAATTAATTATTAATTATTATTGTTACAGTTCTTTCACCAACCACAGCCCTGAGCTCCAACCGGAGACTACCTGTGTCCAGGTTGCGGTCGATGCTCTCCTGAGAGACGCAGTGGAGTCGCTGGATGTAGTCGTCGCTGTACCAAACCCGCAGTTTCTCTCCCACCGCCAGAGGCCGACACACTCTGAAGTAGATGTTTTTGTGGTGTTGGAACGCCGTCAAGTTCCTGTCGCTCTCCTCTGACGAGGTTCGGACGAACCTGCAGCTCGCAAACATCAACAAAGATATTTTATAGATAATTTTTCATATGATCAAAGATTTAAATGATTTATGTAACTTTCTGTTATTATACTATTATATTTGTTGATTCAATCAGTGCAGAATTGATAGAAAATTAATAATTATGTATTAAAATAAAAGCGTTACCTCATCCAGTTGGCTTTGGTCTCATCGCTGCCATCGATGGACTGATACGCGTTGTTAGAATCAACAATCTGGAACAAAAAAGAACAGGAAACGTGTTCAGAGCTTGTGGTTCTAAACTGGTTTCAGACTGGTTCTAAAGTGGTTTCAGACTGGTTCTAAAGTGGTTTCAGACTGGTTCTAAAGTAGTTTCAGACTGGTTCTAAACTGGTCTCAGACTGGTTCTAAAGTGGTTTCAGACTGGTTCTAAAGTGGTTTCAGACTGGTTATAAACTGGTCTCAGACTGGTTATAAACTGGTTTCAGATTGGTTGGACTTACGATCCAAGAGAAGAAACCGGAGGATTTGTCCTTGGAGACCAGATCTCCCTCATACGGACCGAACAATGCCCCCCTGGGGATGTTTGGATCCACGCAGCGAACATCAACCTTGTCTCCCTCAGCAAACACCTCCAAGCCGGACGGGACGGTGAGCGCCGCCCTGTTGGCCGACCCTGGCGCCGCAGGTGTATCAGGGACGAACAGCGGGGGCCCGTGGGACGGACACTCCTTCTGGAAATAGTCCTGGCACTCCTCGCAGACTGGACGACAAACAGTCGACATTTCAGGATTTTATTTACTCTTCCAGCGCTAATAAAATATTTACAGCGTGTTTATAAAAACAACTCCTATATTGCCCATAAAGATGATTATTAATGCTAATTATGCTAATTTTGAGAGACTGAACATTTCTAACATTAAACTCTGTACTCAACCGTTCTGGTTCATGTTTCTGTTTCTATATCCGCCATAAAGTTGACTTTGACTCGTAATTTTTAGTTTAATGTTTAAATATTTCCTTTTAATTTGGTGTGTAACAGCTACACAATCTTACAACTGGAGAATGTAAGAATCATTTCAGACCGACAACAACAATAACAGTTATTCATTTCAATACAATCTGTAGTCAAAGTCACAAGGAGCTGCCGGTTGACGACCAGCAGCCAGCGACGGTTTTAGATCTGATTTTTAGGTCATCTATAATGTGTGAATATATCGGTTGGAAAATGTATCGAAGGATCTGAAGACAGGAACTTACACCAGTGGTCCAACAACTCGCTCATGGTGGAACCATGTTGGTAGAAACTCAGCACGTCTTCACAGCCTCTGCAGACAACAACACGGGTCAGTAACAACAAACCTTTCCTCACAGTGGACAGCAGGTATCAGGTTATAAAATCACTGATTTCACTGCAGCTTTTCTTAAAAAATATGTTTTTAGGATTTTTTTTGCAATTAAATTGTTGGAAAAAGTGAAAATTGCTTGTTATAAGTTATAATTGTGATTTATTTTTGTATAATTCATTAAAAATTTAAGGCAACTAGTTCCAGAGAGAATAAAATCGGTCACCAGTTTGGCTGTCATAATGTCTGTAACATCTTCTGAACTCATAACTGCAGTTGATACCGTCTACAGTCCTGCAGTACTGCCCCCCAGTGGCGAACCACAGTAACTAACTAACAATAAAACTAAGAAAAATGTTTTTTTGACTGTAAATTCAAATGTGTTGTTATGTAGAACAGCAGTTACATGCTCATTAAATATGTATTCTCTGAGTAATTTTCATGGCTTAAAAATCCAGATCAAATATTTGACCTCCGCCCTGTAAACTACAGATCCTTCACTCTGTCTTTGTATTATTTTAAAGTATGTATCTATTACAGAAACAGATATACAGGCAGTTCAGTAACAACAGTCTGAGTTTCTCCTTCCTGACAAAATCTACTTTATCACAGTCAGTCTGTATGTAACAATGGATCAGAGGATTAATATAGATCTTGCAGGAGTGGAGGAAGTATTCAGTAAAAATACTGCACTGAATGTTACTGGAGTAAACTATTTATTTTTAGGATCAATTAATTGATTGTCATTTTGCTGTTTGGTCCATAAAATGGTGAAAAACTTTGAATCAATGTTTCCTAAAACTGAAAGATGACGACGGCCTCAAATATTCACACTGAGGCTGAAATCAGAGAATTTGGACGTTTTCACTTAATCGATTATTAAAATAATTAAATATGAATTTAATAGTTTACCACTACTTACTGTAAACAGGAAGGAAATGTAAAGTATGAACCTGTTGTATTATTATATCTGATATTATTAGATTATTCAGACTGTCGGTATTGATTATCAGCTGAGGAGCTGGACGATGTTTAGTTTAGTCTCTGTCTGTGTTCACTAATCAACTTTAATGTTCTGCTGTCTGTCAATGAGTCACTGAGCGGTTCAGGTCCGAGGTCCAGGTCTACTGACCCTGCACGAGCCCTCAGACCTCCGGCTGGTTCTGGATTCAGGCGGTTCCTGCTGCTCCAATGTGGAACAAACTGTTTGTGATTAATCTTCTGTTGAAGCGGCACTTTGTAACGTCACTGTGAGACTCTGAGTAAACTGTATGTTTCCTATTGATCAGTATCAATAACAGCAGAGAACAGCTGATCAACTGATCAATGAACACAAACAGTGAACTCAATAACTGCAGGAAGTTTGATTATTTCCTGTGAATATTGATCAGAGATATATTGATCCATTGTCTGTATTGTGTATTTTTATCCTTTTAACAATTAGACTTAATATTCTTCTTTCTGACAGATTCACTGTTTATTGATCGATCAGCTGATTGATTGATGGATCAGCTGATTGATTGATGGACAAACTCTGGATCCAGATTGGGGACTTTTTTGTATTTCGCGGCCACCGTAGTTTAATTAGAGGTTGAATCAACTTCACCACTAGATGGATCTAAATCCTACAGACTGGTCCTTTAAAGAACTTTATTTTATTGGTTTTGGATATAATTATTATTATTTGAACAGTAAACATTCCTACAGATAAACTATTAAACAATGTTTGTTTTTAAATGTTACAGATAATCTATTAAATGTTCAAACTCTTTCTATTGTCTATTTTCTGTCACTACAGCGTTTTAACAAATGTGACTTTAATCATAAAAAACCTCATTTTAAAAACATTTGACTAAATTAAATCATATTTTATTTACAGCTTCAACTTTTATTTGTTTATAAATCAGAGAAATATAAAGCTGTCCCCATTATATCAGCTTTAACTGAGCAGTATTAATATTAACCAGGAGTTTAATATCCGCCCTCACACACACATTATTGATCTCTAATAACTGCTGATTATTGATCATGGTGCTCTTCCACAGTGCAGTCTGTGTGCTGAGGGTTTAAACTCTCTGCTGCAGTCTGCTCCGACATTAAAACACTTTACAAACACTCACAAACTAAAGTTGTGTTAAGCCGAGAGTCGGTGTCCGCAGATAATCCGGTAAATTAGCGGATTTTAAGGCTAATTAGCGGCTGAGTTTTAATCTGCGCCACGCTTTCGGTCTGCAGACAACTGGCAATCTGCCTGCTCCTTTCGGAAGCCATTTTCGCTGGCCACAGTGGCTACCGACAGACCCACCGTGAGCACAGCGGGGACACGGAGCCTCTCTCCCGGCTTGAAGCTGGACTCTCCGGCCGCTGCCCGGCCGCCGAGCACCGACCCGCCCCCGGCCGCTGGCTCCGCCGCCGCCCGCTCGATGTTAAAGTTTTTCCCGTTAATTTTTTGCAGCGACTCGGTCGCCTCCCCGAGCTTTGACCACCATTTTTTATCACAGGAAATGACATGGAGAACGGAAGAAAGCAATTGCGCAAAAATTAAAGTTAACAGCGAGAATTTGATTCCGAGAGTTTCAGTTTCTGTCGCATTTTATCCGGAAAAGTCGCTGATTTCAGTGAATGAGCGGAAATAAGGAGAAACAGCCGCAATATAAGGAACATTTAATGCACAATAAATACACAATAAACACATAAAATAACCCCAATACTCAACCTGCATTTAGGATTTTACAGTTACAGAATATGGAGGCTATGAAGTACCGTAAATTCAATGTATGGAAGACCTGAGAGGAAAGTGGAGTTTTCTGTTCCAAGGTTTTAAATTTGTTTCATGTGTGGAAACAGGTTAAATTAGTTTTTCCACACAATCATTTGTTTTCTTGTTTGTTTTCATCTATAAAAACAGGATTTCATTTTTTTCTCAGTTTTCTCATTTTTATTATCTATTAATTAAAAAATAACATCTACGAGAACAAATGGAAAAACAATCTTAAATAAAAACCAAAATACTGCAAAAGTTAATCCATTACGTACGGCGGAGTATAAGGGCCATACTACAAGAGGAAAAATAAATAAATACAATTTTGGAAATTACGAGAATAAAGTCGTAATATTATGAGAATAAAGTAGAAAAAAAGCAATTTCTTCCAAGTCCGTGTGGTTCTTTCTTTGAAATAGACAGTCGTTTGCACAATCGTTTCAAAGTCCTGATGCTGATAATAATTTGATGATGATAAGATCACAAGATGCTCAACATTCCCCATTTTAACGGAGTGGGAATATAAAATTACGATTTTTTACGATTACGATTATTTATTCTCGCAATGTTATGACTTTATTCTCGCAATGTTACGACTTTATTCTTGTAATATTATGACTTTATTCTCATAATTTCCCCAAAAAATAATATTTATTTCTCTTAGTCTGGCCCTCACACGCCATCATAATTACGAGTCCAGTCCTGCATTCAGTATTTCACTGTAGTGTCACTGGAGTCAAACACTACCAAACCCACAAGAGTTTTTCATTTATAGGTAAAAACATTTTTAGTTTCATTTTAATTCTTCTTAAAACACTGAAGTTCTTCTTTTATTCTTTAAGAAGTTTTAATGTTTTTTCATGTTTGAAATTTGTTTGAAATTTTTTCTTAAAGCTTTTTCAGTTTTCTAAATTAAATTTTTTTCTTGTCACCTGTGAATTTATTCTCTTTTTTTCATGTTTGAAAACAGGTGAAATCTTTTTTTTCATGATCAGTTTTCTAAGTTTCAATTTCTTTAATCTGTGAAAACATTTAAAATCGTTAACGAAGACAAATACGGCAAAAATAATCTATAACGACTCCGGCCCTACATTCATTATTTTATATTATTCATGAGTTACTCAAGTAGTCAAAACTCTTCGGAAGCCCTGAAAGGCAAATGTAATTTTTTATCGTTTTTTTACATTTATTTTTTTCATCTGTGAAAACAATTGAAATGTTAGTTACCCTCAAACAACGAAACAAAGGGTTAACCCTAACCTAACCCTAACGTTTGGCCTCCTGAAAGATAAACTACAGTGATTTGACTTATCTCATATAAACTGTCTGTCGCACTCTTCAAATCTTCATTGTTAAACATCCCTCACTGGGGCTGAAGTTAACTTGATTAATGTTACAGTAAACTTAACGTTATACTCTCGACTTAACCTGCGTTGTAGCTAACAGACAATATACAGCTACAGCGTTTAAAGCTTCATGTTGGGAAATGTAAATACGATTTTATTGAACTAAATTAAAGAAACTAACCACACTAATTTAAGTGAGTGAAAACCCCCCCCCACAAAAAGATTATGTAATTTATTATAATGAGAAACTTTCTCAATAGTTTAACTTACTATCTAAAAAAATACATATTTGTTTTATTCAATATTTTGAGTTTCTCATTTTAATGACTTACATAATCTTTATTTTCCCATCACATTGGCATAAAAGGGCTTCCATAGAAACAGATATATCAGAAAACAAAAAAATAAATAAAGATTCAAAAGACAAACAAAAAAACGGTAATATAGAAAGTAAATAATGAATCACTGCTGCGTCATGAGGCTGACCGGAGGTTGTTGCTGCTGCAGCGTCAGAATGAGCCTGAAATGGCCTCCATACATCAGAACATTTATTTATTAAGACTTCCCATCATATCAAACTTTTCTGAAAAACAGTTTCATGTCAACTACAAAACAGTGAGTCACGTTTTATAAATATATTTATTTTCACTTCAAAAAATCAAAACAGCTTTTTACATCAAAACTTTACAATCTTTTTAAATCACTAACGACATATAAAATATTAATGTTCAAGTTATTTTATTCAGTTGTAGTTTCCTTAATGATACTTTTGAATAACAAAATATGATGATGAGTAAAACAGAAAAGTAGTTTCAGCTCAGTATTGCAGGTCTGAGGTCACAAACAGTCGTATTTTGGAGCCAGTTTACTTTAAAGGCGGAGTCCGACACCAAAGACCACTCTTTAATAAACGGGTTGTAATGTTATTATTCTCTATTATGATCATACGAGCCCTTTAGAAAACATTTGTGTTCTATAAATATCTGAAGGTATATTTGTTTTTAAGGCCATAAATAAACTCTTTAAAGATTATTTTAACAGATTGTTGCATTAAAAAGCTGAAAACAGTCGAGTTGTTGGGTGCAGAGTGTTTTTCCTGCCACCAGAGGGAGCCGTTGCTCTCTGTCGTCTTCTCACCTCCTCCGACCTCAGATCAGTTTCTCCTGTTCACAGAAAGGTGACGGGAGGAACTGGTAACCAGTCTTTTAAAGAACGTACAATACGTTAAAATACCTTTCACAATATCCAACAATAGATTTATAGATATTTGTGGTATCTGATATCGCTCTCTAACGTGGTCACATTAAACCTTCTTTATATGTGTCACATGACGTCCTGAGGGAACGTTGGTCTTCAGTTCTTCACTTCGGGTCGTTTCAGTCTCTTTCGCTGGATCACCGTCTCAAATATTTATACTGTGACTCCTATAAATGCTATATGTGGTGCATTGTGGGATTTTATAACTGAACTAATCTGATGGTTCAGACAAACAGAGACATTAATGGCAGAGACAGTGAAAGTGTCCATCAGGCTGCTGTCGGTCCAACCGTCTCTCAGTGGACGCCGGAGGTAGACGGCGTCTCACAGAGTTCATAAAGTCTGTGGTCGCTCAGTAGAGACGCTCCACGTTGTGTTTGTGGTTCTTGCTGTTCGAGTGTTTCCTGATGTTGTCGATCTTGAACTTCTGGCTACCTTTGATCAGAGCCAGGTTCGGGTGGGTCTTGGCGGAGTACAGGCGGCACACGTGGCACCACATCTGGTTGAGGGCCGGCGAGTAGCAGAGGAACCAGAACATGCTCAGCCAGACCTTCTTGAAGCGAGGCGGCTGATGCTTGGACCGGATGTCCCGATAGACCGCAGGGGCGCTGGGAGTGGACTCGTTGGCCGAGTCCTCAACCCCGGTACCGTACACCCACTGAGGAGAGAGAGGCTCCATCCCTGTGAGGACAGACAGACACGTTTAACCTTCATCACCATCATCATCATCATCAACTTCTAACTGTAACTGAACTCACAACTAGAGTCTGTCTCCTCTATCTGGACCGGGTCGGGACTCTGCAGGTCCTGGTCTGGCTGGAGGGGGGGCTTGTTGACGACGGGTGAGACCTCCTCGTCCTCCTGTGGTTCTGTGAGATGAGACAGTTTGTCCTGCAGCTCCACGATCGTCCTCCGCAGTCTGACACAGTCCTCACAGGAGGAGGAGGAGGAGGAGGAGGAGGAGGAGGAGGAGGAGGAGGAGCTGGGAGGAGGAGGGTTAAAGTTCAGCTGCACACTGAAGTCCCCGGAGCCGGAGGACCGTTTGGCTGCGAGGGCCCGGGACCTGCTGGAGGCCTCCAGAGAGACTTCGAGAGCGCCTCTGAAGAAGTCCTGAAACAAACAATTAACTTTAGTTCATAAAAAGAACAAAAAATGGCTCCGTGGTGTCGGCTGGTAACGGCGAGCTAGGATGACGCAACCGGACGCTGACTGTCAGTCTTACTCTGAAGCTGAGGGAGTTCTGGTCCACTGCAGCGGGCCGCGTTGTGTCTTCAGACTGTTTGCTGGTGTTGGTCTGTAGAACCGACTGCAGCACAGATTTAAGTTCTCTCCAGTCCGGTCTCGCTGCAGCGATGTACAGAACAACGGATTTTAGATAAATCGATACAGGATGTTTCTGTAAATACAGTGAATGAACACTGAAGCTCACCTGGTAGACCTGGACCTGGACCTGGACCTAGACCTAGACCTGGACCTGGACCTGGACCTAGACCTGGACCTGGACCTGGACCTGGACCTAGACCTGGACCTGGACCTGGACCTGGACCTGGACCTGGACCTGGACCTGGACCTGCATGTACCACAGCTGAGTCCTTACTGCACTGGGTTTCAGTCTGGCCTGTGGGCCTCTGATCGTCCCCCTTTCTCTCTCCTCGTTTCCGGTTCACCGTGAGCCGAGCTGTCACAGAACAGCAAGAAGAAGAATTGTCAGCGTTCCTCTGAAGCACTTCCTGTCTGTATCAGTGAATTATTCATTCTCTGAATCTACAGAAATATCTTGAGATATTGATCGTTATCGGGACGGAAGCCTGAGTTCAACGCCGTCAATCAGAGACGAGATTAAAAATCCTTATTCTGTGTCATTTTAATATTTAAATTCTATGAATTCTCCTTCACATCCAACAGTTCAGTCTCACCTCCTCTTCCTCTTCCTCTTCCTCCTCCTTTCTGTCCTCCTGCTGCTGCTTTGGATTCTGTCGGAGGACGTTTGGACGAGAGAGACGGTCTCTTCCTCGCCGTCAGTCTCTGTTTTGCTTTGGGTTTCTTCGCCTGCTCCGTCGGGAGGAGGCGCTCAGTGCGTCCGCCGTTCTCTTGGCTGGGACCCAAATGCAGTGACGGGACCCAATCTGGGTCCGACTGCAGTATTTCAGTAGCTGGTTTACCTGCAGACACACGAGGAGTTAGTCTCAGAAAACAACATCCACAGTGACGTCTTCTTTTATCCAACCATCAGAATAAACCACAATCTGCTGATCGACTGATGATGACGAGTTTTTGATTATCATTAAATCTAAATTCTCTGGTTCCAGCTTCTCAAATATTCAGGTGGATTCAAACAGTAAATAAAATCCAGACATCTGGAGACCCTGGACTCAATTATCTGCATTTTATTGTGATTTATGTTTGTCTCATTCTAAGGTAACAAACACACAATGATTGTTAATTTCAGCTGATTAAACACTAATGAAAACATACATTAACATAGATATTATATTAATGATACACTGGAGCTTTAACGGAGGCAGCTGGTGAACTCTTCCTTAAATCGGGAGAAATCTGAATGGAGTTCTGTTGCCTGTTAACATTTCCCTCCTGTGGTTCCTCAGTGGGCTTCAGGAGGAGTTTAATCTTTACTGTGGACAAACAGACTCACCACCGAGAGGTTTCTCTCATATTTAATCTAAATGTGGAGGACATAATGTTAGTCAGCAAACCAACAGCAGCACAAACTACAGTGAGTGTTAAAGCTGAACCAAACCCCAGAGGGAAAACGGGGATTTTAACAGACCAGGTAAAACTCACCTGAGTGGAAGTGGCGGGAGCACACTCTGGCCGAGGCGGGGATGCTGTTGAAGGTGAGGTTGTTCCGGCCCACAGCGGACACCCAGGCCGCCCTCCTCCGCCTCGTCAGCTCGGATATCTGCCCGCCTTCGTCCCTCCTCCAGTCGGGGAAACAGTGGAAGCTCAGCCCGTTGGGGATCTTCCTCCCGCGGTGGTCGTGAGAGCGGCGGCGGCAGCTCTTCACACAGCAGTCAATGCCCCCCATCAACAACAACAACAACAACAACAACAACAACAACAACAACAACAACACGCTGCACGAGAACAGACAACAGTTACGGCTGATGTCCCACAACACACCGCGGCGTGACGTCACGAGACATCGTTCCAAACATTCTTCTTCTACTTTTTCTTTTTCTTTTTTTTCTACTTCTTCTTCTTCGGGTTTAAATGGAGTTTAATGCAACTGATTTCTGCCAATGTGATAAAAAAAATATATTAAAATTATAGTGAGAAACTATAAATTAATAATTTATAGCTCAAACTTTAAATAATGTTTTAGTATCTCAAGATCCAAAGTGGTTTTATGAGAGTTTATTTAGTTTGTATTGTTATTTATTACACTATCTATACTGACCTGAAGACGTGTTCAGGGCGGGACCGCAGATTGGACCGTGTACACTGTACACTGCGGGTTCAATGTCACTGATCGAACTGTTAATTGTTAATGTCTTTATCAATTCCCTCAGAGGAGTTCGTTGGTTATTATCCTGCAATAAAAAATAAAGTCCCGTTAGCAGAGGATGGTTTCGATCCATCGACCTCTGGGTTATGGGCCCAGCACGCTTCCGCTGCGCCACTCTGCTGAACGAGAACAACAACAGCGGAATAAACTATTTATAGTATATATATATATATTTATAGTATATTTATATTTATATATATATATATTTATTTATATATATATACTATAAATATATATATGCAGTATATATATTTATAGTATATATATATTTATAGTATATATATATATTTATAGTATATTTATATTTATATATATATATATTTTATTTTTTTTTTTTTTATATTTATAGTATATATATTTATAGTATATATATATTTATAGTATATGAGCACACAGACAGTGTTACACTGGTTCCAGTACGTTGAGCTTTTATATGATATTTATTATCAGTAACGTTCATTATGAATTAATTAATGTAATAAAACAGGACTTTACTGTTGGTTGAGCTCATTATGAATTATTCTGTGTCGAACTGAATCTAATGATTATTTTCTCCATCGATCATTTGATCAGAACCTAAAGCACAAAGCGGGCGGACGACCGGGCGGGATTCGAACCCGCGCCGCTGCGGGTCAGAACTGCAGATATGAGATCCATAAGGAACTCAACCGTCCATGTTTTTACAATGAACAAAGACTTGAAGTGTTATCAGAACAGTGTCCGTAGGTTCCTCTGCTGTATGCTACATGCTAAGCTAATCTACGCTATGGTTAAAACACAGGTCGTCACTAAGATAGCTAGTTAGCTAGTTAGCTAGAGTTTCGTTACGTAGCAAAGCTAACCTGCTAACTAGCCAGCTAAAGATTGACGTACATTATCTGGCTAGTTAGTTAGCATTTTTCTACCATTAGCTGACTTAAAGATGTAACTATATATATATATATATAATCTTTCTATCTTTTTATCTTCAGACTGTGGTTGCTTTTCAACATAGATTAGCTTAGCACATAGCTGACTCTGACCTGAATGGAACCTGTGTTTACCCTACTGTTTCATGTCAAAATGGTTGCTGTGAAAAAGGCCTATTCAGTCTGATAATCATGTGAGAGATACAACCTCTAAAACTGTTAATGAAAACAAAACCACTCTGCTTTTCACAATTTATTAACAAAATGATAAAATAAATAAATACAAATTGATCAAATGCTCCTAATATCAACTCCTCCCCATGTTCCCTACAGTATTTCCTAAACACTGCATACAAAGAATTCATCACAGAAGAGGCTCAATACAGAGGTAAGAATCCCACCAGACCAGTCACAATGTCAGGCCAACAGAAGACACATCTGGAACAGAAGTCAAAAAAATAAACACATTCCTTTCCAAAATCATTATGAAAAAATACAAACAATTATACAAATATTCAGATTGTGTAATTACCAATTTACACATTATTCAGCACACCAGGTGAACTTTTTCTTTATTCATATCGCTACAATGCATCTCACCAAATGGAAGATAAAAAAAGACTTCTTTTATTTTTTATTCTTTTTTTTTTTGCACTCAACACACCCCCAATGGAATTAGCTGTGGATGAGGTAAGAAGCTTCAGGTGTACAGTTGGGTCCGGACAGGATGGATGGCGAGCCGTAACGACGGGGTGATGTCATGTTATCGACAGAATACTAGAAGGCCACAATCATGACTTGATCGTTTTTTGTTTGTTTTTTTAAAGTAAAAAGCTGAAAACTTTACCACACGGGGGAGCTGGAGGCGAACGTTTCAATGCATATAAGACTTCCTCTAATACAAACACGGTCCTCTCAGCTTGCACACGATGCTGACGCAGAAATTAATTTCCAAATGATATGCAACATTAAAGGCTTCCAAACAGAAATGTAGAGTTCTTTGGATAAATTCACTTTTAGAGCTCGACTAAATAGAAACCGAGGACTTCTTTTCTCTATAATACAATGACACAATTTAGACACGAACCCCCTCCCGACATTCAGCATGGTGCATTAGCCAAATTAAAATCTAAACTAAGGAGCATTTCGCTGCTCCATCTGTTAAAACTCTGCTTGCAGGAAGAAATGTCTCCGTTTTTATGGAAGCTCATTTCAGCCAAAGTGAGGAAAAAAAAGATTCTGAAAGTCATTATAATGAGAAACTCTCTCAAATGAACAGGATAGTTTTACAATATTCTGACTTAGTATCACAAAGTCATTATTTTACTAAGTCAATAAGTTGATAAAGTTTCTCATTGCAATGAGAAAGATCTTTTTTCCTTTCATATTGGCAGAAATGAGCTTCCATACATTCTACCGTGGATGGCTACCGCACTGAACTGCACACAACTGGCATCAGGATGCCAAAAGAAAAAAAGGTGACTTGAGTTTTTAAAAAAAGAACAAAAGTAAATAAAATAAAATGCATATTAAAAAGGTTTGACAAATCTTGTATAAAAATTTGCATAAGAAGGCATGCGTTCCACCAGAGTGGACAGATGTTGCTAATTGGGTCTAAAGTTTGTTCGTTCCAAATGCACACAGGCTCCGGCTTTGCGTGACCTGATTATAACAAACTCCTCCGAAAACACAAGAAGAAGAAGAAGAACCACAGCACGGTGGGAACGATGAAAACAAAAACAGCTCCCGAGTCCTGACCGAGGAGCCGACTACACGGGAACCGGACCGCCCCGTTCTTTACACTCTGATAATAATACTGGTCGAACCAAAAGTGCGTCAAACAGCTGGCTGCCACACCGAGCGAGATCTCATCACTAACAATCCTCTCTTTGGAGCTCGCCAATCGACCTCTGAGCTTCGCCAGCGTCTGCAGCGATTTTTTTTTTTTTAATAATGTAAAAGTTTAATAAAGGAAAATAAAACACATTTAAGGCAACTCCTATAATAAACAACAACAAAACACTATCTGGTCACTCTAAACGGCTGTGTGAGAATATGAACGTAGTTGGTAACTTGCATTGACTACTGGCAGCCTGAGGTGAAGGGACCGGGTTTGTGCTCCGGAGGTTCGGGGGGGGGAGCTCTCGGAGGGGGAGGCGGGTCGGGGTGGGAGGATTTATCCGGAGGGTTAGTAAGGTTCTACAAGTCACAGTGCAAGTCAAGAGACAAATATTATCTGCTGTTTGAAGAAAGGCACTCTAGGTACCTACTGTACAGAGGGAAAGGTCCAGTTTGTCTGGAACACAAGTTCGGGCTCGTCTAAAGAAAACCTGGTGGAGTGATGACGACTAATGAGGGAGAACGTCCACCCGAGAAAGCCGACAAAGAAAACACACAACGAATGGAATTCATAAGGAATTGGGGACATATTAGTTGCCATTTTCTCAGAATTGCAGTCTTTTCCTTCCATGTTCGAATGGCTAAACTCTTCGTAAGAGACACATTACATTTATCAGACAACACTGTGGCCAAACATGTGGAAATGTTACAGAGATTTTCTCTTTTCTGGGGTCTTCTGAATGAAGGCAGTTTGTACAGCTGATGTCAGAAAATAAGGTGTTGTGTCAGATATGTTGATTCAGTTACAAGAGTCCGTATGATATGAAAAAAAGACAGCTGTAACAGCACATTGTATAGTCGCCCAACAACGTGTTCACCCCCGCAACCGCGTGCACGTATAATTTGCTATTATTGGACGTCTGTGCAGAACTGTGTCAATAAAAACAGGCACAAATTTCACCCTGCCCCAGAGAGTCTACAGCCATGCTAGCAGCTCTGTTCAGCTCAGCTAAATGCTAACATCAACATGCTAACATCCTCACAACTGACCCTTCCTAAGCCCCGCCCCTTTTTGTTCTGTGTACGACAGTCCCTCCAGGATTGGTTGCGACCTTAAATTCCTGATTTCACAGCAGCTTTTCTAAAAAACACAATTGTGAATAAAATTGCGTGAGAAACAGAAAACTTCTTCAGTGAGAATAAAAATCTGAGTTTGGAGGGTAAATGTGAGACGTTGGCGTCACACGGCTGCATTTTCACAACTAGGAGGAGGAAGTGAGTTTTGGTGACGTATGGTTCACCGTGAAAGAGACAGATCACCTTCAAACTACAAAGATTGCTAAAATTTGTAAAAAAGTTGCAGTGATTGGACAAAATTGTAAGGTTGCACAGAATTCACTGGGATTGGTTGAATGTCGCAACTTCCGGGACGGAATCTCGGATCTCAAGTTAGCTAATGTTAGCAAAGGCTAGCTAACACTTGATGATAGGAATATTTGTCTCTTTTATTTTGTAATTATCTTCAGAATGTGGTTGACTTTTCAACATACATTAGCCTAGCATGTAGCATAGCTAAGTACAGGAAGCAATTTTTTTTTTCCCAGGATGGCGAAGTCATGACCCGCCCTACTCTACCTCTGACTGGCTTACACTGATATCCTTACCCCACTCCTCATGCCTAAACCTAACCACTCCATCCAACGAGGGCAACAAGTACAAGCCAATCAGATGCAAGCTAGGGCGGGTCATGACTCCGCCACCCTGGGAAAAAAGGAAAGGAAAAAGCTGACAGAGTTTTTATAGAAGGGGCGGGACTTAAAAAGGGTTAGTTACAATGCTAACATGCTAATGGTTACCATTGTTCACCTTCTTAGTTTAGCATATTAACATTTGCTAATTAGAATTAAAAGTGAAGTGCAGCTGAGACGGATGGGAATGTTATTAGTTCTGCAGGTATTAAACCTAAGTATTGGACACATTAAAAAGTCGGCCTGATGGTGGCGCTAGAGGATAAAAGGAACATCATTAGGATTTATGCTCTTGGCACTACCGATATCTGTATGAAATTTGATCCAATAGTTGTTGAGATATGTCACTAAAAGCCAAAGTTGTGAACTTTGTGGTGGCGCTGGATAAAAAGTAGGATTCATCCGTCTGTGCAAACTTTCATGTCACTTCTCCAACTGCGTGCTGCAGGAATTAGTCCTAACCCAAAAATGAGTTAGCATTTAGCTCCTCCTGGTTCCTTCACCTGGAAGTTGATGGGTTTTTAGTAGATGTCTGAAATAAAGTCGGTAGTTAACAGAAGATTAAGAGATTGTTCTCAGACATAAAATACAGAAGTTAATACCCCAATAATCCATAATCAAATGGAAAAATCCTATTAGAGACGTTGTCCCTGCTGCACTCTATAGTTGTCAAGACCAACTGACAGACGGACGTTGCCACTAGCATGGTTACAAATCCCTCATAAATAAAAGCAGTAAGACAAATTAAAGCATTTTGAGATAATCTTCCACATAAAACATCCAGGTTGAAGAGTTGAACACCAATAACAGAACTTTCAACGCTACTCGGGGGTGAATACGTTTTCAGACGACTACAATTTCAGCAAAAACGCTCCAATATTGCAAAAAGAAAGACATAAATAATGATTCCAGCACAACCAGAGGCACTGTTAATGAACAGACCAGAGTTTGTTAATGCCCCGTACCCAACAAGAAGCCAGAAGTCATGATCAGTTCACCAGACAAAGACAGACCCGAACTGACAGCCACCAAGCCAACGAATAACAGCATCACATTTCAGCCCAGACATGCTCCAGAAAGAAAAGAGATGCACTAGTCTAACTGTGAGGGGATGAAGGGGTTTCTGAGACAGAAGCCCAGCAATTCCCCCCCAAAAATATGAACTAGACTTGAGCCTTAATGTCAGACAGAGGTTTGTATTTCCTCCTAGAAAAATATTGGCAATGTGGGGATAAGTCACATCACAACAAAGAGATGCATACTCTGTTTAATTCCATATTAACATACAAAAAGCTCTTCAGCACTTCTTTGTAATGCAGCAAGCTTGTGCTTTAATCTCAGGATTTGTGGTATTGTCCTTTGAGATCCGTCTGAAGGAGCAGGTTCATACAACAAATCCCTCCATTTCAAGGAAAAAAAAGTTCCTTTAATGTTATTGTTTAATAAGCTCTCCTGTCTCAATCTGGGGATTTCCAATTTCTGAAATGGTAGCATCTATATCTTACAACGCCAATGATTTGATCTTTCAATACAGTAAGTGGACTTGTCCCTGCTGAATTTGGATACAACATCATTTTGGCAGTTCAGGATTCAACAGAAATGTACATAATGCAAAGATCACCACTTCAAAAAGAGGATTCCTTTTTGTGTTGATAATGCCAGTCCAGCAGGTTCAGGAACAGAAAGCACTTATTCTGAAGACTAGGAAGACCTGAATATCTTTTCCTATAAAAAAGAAACACAGCCCAGATATAGTTTGTGTGTGTTGACATTGCAATATTGCAATTTCACATTTAGTGCTCACAGTTGACACACTTGACTCACGAATGAAAACTCAATCACTACACTTGACCGACACCACTGAAAACATCTGTTAGGCTACCGCGCCTGTTCGCTTCGTCCTCCGTACCTGCTGAACACGACGCTCAGCATCCTTTCTGCCTGAGCTCAGGGATACGAGTGGGGAAAGAGATGGGGGGAGGGGGAGTTAACTGGGATTGTTGGTTGATGGGGACGTTTGGTTATTGGTCAACTGGGACAGGGTGGAGTCTCCGTTGTGGTTCCAGAAGAAGGAGGATGGACTGGGGAAGGTAAGTTTGGGTTTTAGTTATTGGGGGAAGGCTGATTTTTGTTGAATGAATACAGTTAAGCAAATTGGATGTTAGGGACGTTGGTTGAAAGGAATCAGTAAACCTCAAGTACTTGTTGGATCGTTTAACAGCATCTGATTAAAGGTTGAAGAGGGAGAGTACGATAGATCGTTGGCGGACTGGGGAAGGTAAGATTGGGTTTTAGTCACTAGGGGAAGGCTGTTTCGTTGATGTTTTTTCTGTTCGAATGAACACGGTTTAAGTTGTAGGCTGATATGGAAGGTAGGGATGCCTCAAATGAAGATTGTGCCCCACACCTTTCCCGACTTCTGAACTGATCGGGGGCTGCATATGAAAAAACTAGGTTTGAAGCATACTGATCCCTTTTGGGTTGAGAAGGAAGAATACTTAAGATTGTTGGTGGACTGCTAAAGGTACATTTCGTCACAAGGGGAAGGTTACTGCTATTTGTTATTAAGACGTTGTGTTTTCTGTTGTCTAAAGACAGTCACTGGTTAATGGGAAAGTTCGGGACGCTGGTGTAAATGTACCAGAAGGCTTCAAATGAAGTGCTTGTCTGAAACCTCAGCCCCCAAGACCTCTCTGACGTTGCAATTGTTACTTTCCTAAATAGACAATCCAATGAGGTGGGGAAATTGGGATGAACCAAGTACAACACAATGAATGTCCAAAAGTGGACTCCATTATCCCCATTTATAGGATTAATGGCATCTAGCCCCTTGCTACAACAGCAGGCATCTCCCCTCGCCATCTAGAGCGGGAATTCGGACGGCACTTTGTAAGAGTTAGTTGATGCAAACTGAGCCGTTTTGGGTTTAAGAAGAAGGTTGCGTTAGATTGTTGGTGGACTGGGGAAGGTAAATTTGAGTATGGGACTAAAGACGACTGAGTTATAGGTTGATGGAGAAGTTAGGGTCGTTTGTTTAAGGGTACTCTTCAAACAAAGTCTTTGTTGGATCGTCTAACAGCATCTGAACCTTTGGGATGCCACATTAGATTGTTGGACTGGGGAAGGATAGGAAAGATTATAGGTTTTTGTTGTCTGAAGATGGTCGAAGTTGTTGGTTAATGGGGGAAGTTAAGATCGGAAGGATCGGGGTTAAGGGTTAGAAACACTGGGTAAGGTTTAGGGTTCAAAGGAAGAGATCAGGGTCGTGGGATTGAAGAAGTTAAAGGTTGTTCACATTAAGTTCATTGGGACAAGGGGATGAACAGGTTCTCTTTTCATTACTCTATCACAACACTGCTTCTTAGACCAGTAACTCCTGACAGATGTTTGGTTCTCGATTTTCTCCACACCCATGCGAACCCATCTCCCCACCCCACAAGAGAACACAGGGGCCACTATAACAGGCACACACTGGTGTGATGATGGATTAATCTCCCTTCGAGCATTCCCACCACTGACGTCTATCACTAATTGGCATGATGACACTGGTTCGTAAGCCTTCCTATACCCCAGCTCTGTGGGTGGAACGGCCTACGTCTTCCCAGAGTCATGTGACTTGGGCTGTATATCTACCATTGACACAGTCTGACAATACAATGCAAACAAACAACATTTATACAGATTGGCAACTTCAGGGCACCGTACGGTGCAAGCAAAAGTCTTTTTTTTAATATATATGTTTGAATTCCCGCAACTCAAGAGACAAAGCATTACTTTTTATTGTCCAAACTGCTGACAAGAGCTGGCAAAGAATGCTGGGAGGGTTCTGAGGTTTTGCTGTTGTTGTTGTTGTTGTTGCTGCCGTCACTGTTAGAGATCTCCTCCTGTTTCTTCTCCACTGCTGTCTCTGGAGGATTGACGGCAGCCATCTTGTTCTCAGAGTTGGTGGTGGCGTTGGTGGCGCAGCCTCCTGCGGGGCTGTGATCAGGGCAGGCCGGTTCGGCCGTACCATTGGTGGTGGCAACAGTCGCGACCACTGAGGAAGTGGGAATGTCAACCACTGGAGCTGCCTCAGTCTCAGGCTTGGCCACAGCCTCCGCCTGGACACCAGTCCCTGTGTCACCCCCTCCCCCCACCACTGCCCCGTCAACAGGCTCCGCCTTACCGCCTGCCCCTACACTGGGGCTGTTATCTGCTGTAAGGACAGCGCTGCCTTCAGGGACAGGCTGGCTGTCGGTGTCTCCTCCTGCTGCTCCTGTTGTCTGGTTGTTCCCTGCGGCTCCGTGCTCCTCTGGTTTGTTGTTTCCATCGGTGTTGCTGCTGGCTGAGGAGCTCCCAGCCTTCACGCTCTCTACAGAGTTAGCTTCTGGCGTGGCTTCAGAGCCGACTGCAACTTCAGCACTGTCCTGGACTCTGGCACTGACGTCCTTACCCTCTGTCTCTGCCAGAGCTTGGTTGAAATTGAAGGCTTGGATGAGGCGAATCAGGTGTTTGACTTTTTCCAGGGAAAGCTGCATCTCTTTCTGACGAGCCAGGATGGTGTTTTTGGTCTCCATGCATTTCTGATGAAGAACAACAACAAAGTTAGATTCGACTGAAGGCATCAGATGTGCTTTAGGTGATGATCAAAAATAATGTATCTCCTCAAGTTCCCGTGCTTCTAGAAATAGGATCAGTCGTTATTACTACTAGCAGTGTGTCCCACAAATCCACCTCAGTCTCATTATTACCCACCTGGTTCTTCTGTTGGGGAGGCTTTGCAACCAATCAGGACCGATCAGGCACTCGGTGTGCGAGTAAGACAGAGTTTATGAGCTGAAGCTTAAGCAAGCATTTTAATGATCCTGGAAACTGGATCAACTAAAAGGGTCTTTGTTGTCAATTGAAAACTGCTAATAAATAAATAAAATATACAATAATATAAGGGCAAGTACAAATTGACATCAGATGAGCAGCAGAAGATACAAACTGTTGATTAAAAATGTGTGTGACAGATTAAGTCTACTTTGCTCTAAAGAGGTCCTGATTCAGAATGATATGAAAGTTTAATCATAAACTGTGACCTTTGATGCATTTATTTCTCCCACACACAAGTTAATCAATCATGGATGGCGTCTGTCTCTTGGATGGATAACCAGATTTAAAGTCAAGCCTTGTCAAAGCTTCGAATATTAATTACTACTAACGCTCTGGAGCTCTATCAGTTCCTGTTTGTTTCTCGGTGAATGAGTAAGTTATGAACCTGCAACTGGATCTAAAAAGGAATTGGTTCTTGTGTTTGTTACCGTTATGGAGTTGCTGAGCTGTTTGACTCTCTGTTCCAGCTGCTCTCGCTCCACTTTCAGTTCAGAACTCCACTTCATCAGCTTCTGTTTCTCCTCTTCTTTAGCTGCAGCAGAGCACAATAAAACAGTTAACCTCACCATCCACCACCTGTCCCAGCGGACGTCTGAGAGAGGAAGATAATCTGACGTCACCTTCTTTGTAAGCGATGTAGGAATGAACAATAGCCAGAGTACCGGGCCAGGGAATGGCTTCTTCTTTTTTCAGGATCTGGAGAGAGAAGCTCACAGTTGTCACAAAGGCTGAGACTTAAGAGAAGATTTGAGGAAGACAAAATTAAGCCGCCACCCTGTGGTGAGGCCGAGAGGGGACAAGCAATGAAGTGGATGGATGTGAGATGCCAATCTTTACTGACACAATGAATGGGACAGAAGCACAAAAAAACAATACTGCATCATGTATATGCTTACAAAGGATTGAACAGTCCTAACGTTCAGGACAGTGTCAGCAGAAGCAGTTTTTTTACAGTCAAGTACAGCTACTGGCCCTGATTGGCCCCTCTCTGGACTGTGGTACCCCCTTCCCCCTGACTCAGGATCAGTCACGGCTGCTGCGGTTACCTGATCTTGACATTTTGGACAGATCCACATGCCTTTAGGAATGGTTTTCAGGGGTGGATCCAGGCAGTCGAGGTGATAAACACGAGAACACGTGTCGCACATGAGCAACTGGCCACTGCGTCTGCACACAGTGCAGAAATCCTCATGGATGTCTCCCTGTGAGGAAGAATTGGACCAATCAGTTTCCCTGCCCAGCTGAGCCCCACCATCCATCTGTGGAGAGGCAGGGGGAGGCACCATGATCTGGTTCGGTTTAGTTTACAGTTGGCCTCGTTTTAATGTCTAATGGACATGGTGTGTTAATTAACCCACAGAAAAGTTAGAATGTGTTCTGAGTAGTAGTTATTAATGGGCTACAGGACACTGTTCACTTTGTAAGGCTGAATCAAAGTAAAAATCAACTGATGACTGATGAGAATCACATGGAGACAACAAACTAATGGACGTGTTTGTGGAGGTCTTGGGGTGCCAATAGGACTGTGTGTGACGGGGGTTTCCAACCCTCTGAACTGTCCGTCTCCCCCATCGTTACTTACATCCCCAGAGCTGGGGCTGGGCAGGGGGAGGGGATGGACGGGGCTGGAGGGGGAGGTCGGGGTGAGGCTGCCCAGCTCCGGGACGCTGCTGTATTTGGGTGGGCGACCTGGGTGAAATGAGACAGACAACAAAGACGGAAAACAAAGAAAAAAAGAAAGATGGAGAGGGGGGAAGAAAACAAAAACAAACAGTCTGTATGACATACCTTGGAAAGGGAGTCTTCGTTGGCTAGCATGAGACGGGGGAGCGGTAAGGGAGGAAGAGGAGGAAGAGGAGGAGTCAGAAGCACAGACAGCAGTGTTAGTGCAGGAGACTGGCTCTGTGCGAGCTGAAGGTGAGCGCTAGTACAACCTACTGCAGTCGTCTACGAAGCCACAACACATCAATGTGTGTCAGATATTAACACACCTCAGTCCGGTTGCTGCAGGCTGTCAGCAGGGCTGGAGCTCAAAGTGTTCATTCATCAAAGAACCAGAAGGTTCTGAATCCTGTCTCTATAATAATCACTGTTTATCAGCAGAGAGTGAACAGGTTGTAGTGGAGCTTTGTCCCTCTGCTGCCTGTGGACTGATCTCTATGTGTCTCTATGTAGGATGAGGGTCAAAGGTTGTGACCTTTATGCTCCCGCGTTATTCAGAGTGGCTAGCAAAAACTCTATCCTAGTGGTTATGTTAGTTGGCTAACGTTAGCTTCCCCAGCTAACATGATGAACGGTGTTGATTTTAGCTATAAATAAATGATGTAGCGGTACAAAGCTAACGATAGCTTCCTACTAGCCAAGAGTGATGTGAGGGAGGGGCATCCAGCTAGCTAACTGTAGCTAAGCTAACTGGTGTTGTCCTGCTGGCTGTATCTTGGTGTTGCATTGTGGGTCTGGTGTTGCATTGTGGGTCTGGTGTTGCATTGTGGGTCTGGTGTTGGTTGCTTCGTGGTGTCGGCTGATGGCTGATTTGTAAACAGCGAGCTAGTTATTAGCATTGAGCTAACGGTCCAAATAAAATAAAGGAACATTGCAGATAGTAACGTTATTCTAAATATGATCATCAGTTGTTTTACAGCGTTCAGTGTTTGTCTCTGTATTTGAACTCCCTCTCAACAGCTCCAGCCTCTGATCACAGCTACATTTAGACTTCTGATGTGATAAAATCTGACACTGCGAGTTGATTTCAATCTTTAGTCTTTTCTGCTGAAAGTCAAATGGAGGTTGTGTGCAGAGTATTTAGTGCTGTTAACCTCTTTAGTTAAACAGGAGGAAAGTGGAAGCTTCTTGGATTCAATTTGAGTCATTTGAGGTATGAAGTATTAAAAGCCAATTAATGTTAGTCTGTTATTCCCTGTTTAACATTCACACAAGTCACTTCACTGAACTTTAAAACGGCACAAATATAATAGTGTCGGCACTGAGAACCAGAACGGTTGAATACAGAGTTTAATGTTAGAAATGTTCAGTCTGGGTCTCTAGCAGTTACATTTACTGACCCTAACTTGCATATGTTGGAAAATTAGCATAATTAGCACGAATAATCAGCTATATGGACAACATTTAGAATTTATAATAATAATAATTCATTTTGAGTAGATTTTGAGGTGATTTATATGTTTAATACGTTGGATCTGCATCAAGAAAGCTCAACTTTATTGGTGTGAATGTTAAGACCTAATATTTATTCAAATTTCTTGCCGCTGATTTTATGTATAAAACATATAAATAACCACATAATTGACTCAAAATGAATTCAGATCAGGCCACTAGGAGCTGAAATATGACCACTTCTGGATTAAACACCCATTTTGTATTTTAAAAATGTCAGAAATGGATTCAGTGTCCTCAATAACCCCAAAATCTCCTTTATTGTCTCAATAAGCCAATCAGCTGCTGAGATATTCTCCATATAGCTGATTATTAATGCTAATTATGCTAACTGTCCAACATATGCAGGTTAGCATCAGTCAGTGTAACTGCTGGAGATCCAGACTGAACATCTCGAACATTAAACTTTATACTCAGAGGTGAAATAAAAATATAAATTCAATATAAAACAGTCTCTGGTCTCAGATACAGTTGTTTATATTATTAAAGATTCCATATGTAAGATTCTGATGCAGTTTATTTTAATGTATTTATCACTTTTTATTGCTGCTGGTGTCACTGTTAACAACAGTTTAATGAAGGTTACATACAGAAGCTTTAATTCCTCAACCTGTCTCAGGAAGAGAACGGGTGTGAAGGTTCAACCGGATTTATACTTCTTCATTAAGGCAGTCCAGAGGTCGTAAACAACCCTGAGAACATGTTTACATTATTTATATTCTGGCAGAAACACAAACATGAAGCTGAAAATATATAATTTCTTGTTTGTTTTATGTGAATATGTGAAATCCAGCTTTAGATATTAAACCGGACTGAAGCGACAGGAAACAGGAAGCAGGAGGAGGAGGGAAGAAGACTTGTTTTACAGCATGTAATTAGTACAACATATTAGTCTCTATTCTACTGTAAATCTACTGTATATTTACTGTATGTTTACAGTATATCTACTGTATGTTTACTGTAAATCTACTATATATTTACTGTATGTTTACAGTATATCCACTGTAAGTTTACTGTGTATTTACTATATATTTACTGTATATCTACTGTATATCTACTGTAAGTTTATTTTTACTATATATTTATTATTACTGTAATCGTGTTTACTGTGTATTTACTATATATTTACTGTATATCTACTTTATATTGTTGCTCTGTGCTGTATCTTTATTTTATGGCTCTACTGTATCTCCAGCTGATGCTGCTCTCTATATCTGTATACTGTATCTGCCTCTCAATCAGTTCCTGTCTGCTGGTCTCTAGTCTGTTTCTGCCAGTTCTTGCTGGTCTTTGAGCTGTGGATCAGTTTTTCATACAGACCTCTCTTCCTGGTCCCCTGGTGCAGAGGGCTGTTCAGGTAACTCACTGCGCTCTTTTTCCTCTGAAACAAACGTGGAAAAAACATGTTAATGTGAATAATTCATTCACGTGATTAATCCCTTTTAGTTCCCTACTGAGCAGCTCCACTAATGTGAGTGAACGTAACACGTTAGGTTTTTAACTCACACTCTCAACCCTTACAGGACGTTCACACGGGAAGTGAAGCAAAACGTTTCACTTACAAAGTCAAAGCAAAGACGCAGACAAACACAAATTCACACTGAACAGAGCGAATATGGGAAATTAGCCCCAATCACGGATTCATGCATGTTGAGGATATAAACGTATACGTATAATGAGATTATATACAAAGTCAATGGAAACAAGTGAACGGACCCAAATTCTCACTGGACAATGCTAAATGCTCAATGCTAATGGGCCGGTTTAAAATATTCAACTTTAAGTAAAGGCTTTGTGCGGTTACATTATATAGGAAGAATGTAGTGAATGTATATACATGTGTGTGTGTGTGTGTGTGTGTGTGTGTGTGTGTGTGTGTGTGCTGCAGTTACATGTTCAACAAAAGTATCTGAATACTAAGAAAAGTGGCAAATCCTCACAAGCAGGAAGCTGAAATGAGGTTTTCTCTAATGTCACTTTTGGAATTGGAAGTTTGAAGAAAAAAAAACGAGAAAAGTGTGTTTTGTACCTCGGGTTCAAACACGGCGCCGCTGTACACCGGGTTGGCCGTCGTTCTCCTCTTCCTCTCCTGTCTTTTGCTCTGAATTTCTGCAACCAGAACAAAGTGTTAACACAGAAACCTTCACGGCAGCAGTGTCAGGACGGGAAGGAGACACTCACTCACCTTCCAAGTGGTCGTGTGTTACGAGGCCCAAAGACACCATGAAGGCCAGTTTCTGGAAGAGAAAGACATCATCAGAACCCACCAGTGACACTGAACGCATCACCTGTCGGGCTCCTCTCTGCCATACCTCTGGGTTGTCCTCCTTCTTGGATCTGGGAGGAGGAGATAACGGAGGAGTGGAGGAGGAGGGGAGGCTGACGACGGCCTTCTGCTCTGTTCCACCTCCTGATTTAACAGTCTGCTGTGAGGAGGAAGGAGGAGAGGAGGGCAGCTATGAGAACAACATTCAATCACAAACCTGTTTTAAGCCTCGGTCACACTACATGACTTTAACAGATCAATCATTGATCAATACTCACATTATTAAAGCATCAAACTAATAATTAACAGCCTTATCATACCATATCATCCATAAAGATACAGTGTATACTGATCAATATCATCCATCAAGATACAGTGTATACTGATCAATATCATCCATAAAGATACAGTGTATACTGATCATATCATCCATAAAGGTACAGTGTATACTGATCAATATCATCCATCAAGATACAGTGTATACTGATCAATATCATCCATAAAGATACAGTGTATACTGATCAATATCATCAATAAAGATACAGTGTATACTGATCAATATCATCCATAAAGATACAGTGTATACTGATCAATATCATCCATAAAGATACAGTGTATACTGATCAATATCATCCATAAAGGTACAGTGTATACTGATCAATATCATCCATAAAGGTACAGTGTATACTGATCAATATCATCAATAAAGATACAGTGTATACTGATCAATAATCCATAAAGATACAGTGTATACTGATCAATATCATCCATAAAGATACAGTGTATACTGATCAATATCATCAATAAAGATACAGTGTATACTGATCAATATCATCCATAAAGGTACAGTGTATACTGATCAATATCATCCATAAAGGTACAGTGTATACTGATCAATATCATCCATAAAGGTACAGTGTATACTGATCAATAATCCATAAAGATACAGTGTATACTGATCAATATCATCCATACAGATACAGTGTATACTGATCAATAATCCATAAAGGTGAACTCTTACCTTGGGCTCAGTGGTCAGGCTGCTGATCTGGATGGGCTGGGCAGGAGTCGGGGTGGGGATGGGGTTTGGTGCCTGGGCGGGGCTGGCGAGGCGGGTGGGGGTAGTGGCAGAGACCGGCGTGGTGATGACGATGCCCGTCAGCGGGGCGGAGCCGGTCTTGCTGCAGGGCTGTCCGTTAACGATGCGGACCTGGTGAATGGGGGCCGCCGAGGGCAGCGAAGACGAAAGCTTGGTGGCCAACATGACGGGCCTCTGGAGCAGCTGGGGGGCCGCCATCATGGGCGGGGGAGGGGCCGGGGCGATGGGGATGTTGGTGGGTGTGGCCGGTTTTGGCCTTACCTGATGACAACAGACAGCCAATCAGAAAACAGCACCAAAGTGACCCGACACTGCTGGGTAACGCCACCGTGGAGCTCTGTCTCAGACTGACGCTACTGATTCTGCTACATCGCTGCTGTCGAGGCGAAGATATCAAAGAGGAAGAACTAAGGAGTCCCCAAGAAGTCAGAAAATATTTCCTGGTTTTCCCTCTGACGTCCTCCGGCTGCTTCCACTCTCTGACATTCACAGTTTCCTGATGGACAGATAACTTTAGCTAAAGTAGCTAACCGCTAATTAAAAGAACCGGGCTCAGCAGCCGGACCAGGATCGAACACAGCCTCCGAGACCGACAGGGAGTAACGTCACAGTACCGAGGTCAGTTACTGAGTTTCTGATGGACAGATTGATCAGTAGCTAGTGATGGGAATTGATAAGAATTTAATGATTCCGATTCCATTATCGATATTGCTTATCGATCCGATTCCTTATCGATTCTCATTGGGTGAGGGAATAAGTACAAATGAGTTTGTTTGTATTAACTCGCTTTAATATCTGATCAGAGGACACAGCACAGAGTATACACAAATTATAGTAGCAACCTCAGAACAAACCTAAAAGTATGTGAGCTACTTCTCAAAGTGAAGTCATCATCATCTCAATTTGATGGACAATGGAGATTATTCGTACAGTAGAAGTTTACACAATGAAATGGCGCTCACATTAACTGCAGACAGGGCCTGTCCTGCCAGGAGAGTTTAACGTTACCTTCGGCATTGATAACAGATGGCGTCCCGTTAGCTCCGCTGCGGCTTGACTCACTTGTGTCTCTAGGTAGTAGGGTATCAAACACGCGACAGTCCTGCAAATGAATTAATGCTGTGTGGCCAAATGTGTCTGCATATTGGAGGTAGTCCCTGTCGTCTTTTCGAGTGAAATATAACCAAACTTTAGAGCGCTTCTGCCTCGACGCCATGTTCGCTGCGTGTGTGACGTCATGACGCATTTGCAACGAGCGGAACCGATAAGCAGAATCGTTAAGCAGGCACGCTAACGGTTCCAAGGAATCGATTCACTGGGCACCGGTTCTGAAGAAGAACCGGTTCTCAATTCCCATCCCTATCAGTAACCAACCGCTAACTGCCGTTAGCTCGGTCAGCCGTGCAGCTAAGCTAACTGACTCAGCTCCGGCACGCCAGGATCTAAACCCGGCAAGACTGGATCCCTCGTCAGCCTCAGAGATTGTGTTCGGTCCCGGGTTCACTGGGAGGTAGACGCTGACACTAGTTCATAGTGCTAGCTGCTATTGGCTGCTGTAAACACCAATCAATATCTGTGATCAATATCTGTGATCCCTCCCTAACTGTAAATATGAGGAAGCAAACGATCTGCTTCCTGTTTCATGTGAACTTTAATATATAATATATATATATTATTTATATAATAATATAACCACAGCATCATTATGTGTGAACTGTTTTTATACTTCTATTGATATTAACACTGATATTAACACTGATTTACACTGATATTAACACTGATATTAACACTGATATTAACACTGATATTAACACTGATACTAACACTGATATTAACACTGATATTAACACTGATATTAACACTGATATTAACACTGATACTAACACTGATACTAACACTGATACTGATATTAACACTGATATTAACACTGATACTAACACTGATATTAACACTGATACTAACACTGATATTAACACTGATACTAACACTGATACTAACACTGATTTACACTGATATTAACACTGATACTGATATTAACACTGATATTAACACTGATACTAACACTGATATTAACACTGATATTAACACTGATACTAACACTGATATTAACACTGATACTAACACTGATACTAACACTGATATTAACACTGATACTAACACTGATATTAACTTATTAACACTGATACTAACACTGATACTAACACTGATTAACACTGATATTAACACTGATACTAACACTGATATTAACACTGATACTAACACTGATATTAACACTGATACTAACACTGATACTAACACTGATATTAACACTGATACTAACACTGATACTGATATTAACACTGATATTAACACTGATACTAACACTGATATTAACACTGATATTAACACTGATACTAACACTGATATTAACACTGATACTAACACTGATACTAACACTGATATTAACACTGATACTAACACTGATATTAACACTGATATTAACACTGATATTAACACTGATACTAACACTGATACTAACACTGATATTAACACTGATACTAACACTGATATTAACACTGATATTAACACTGATACTGATATTAACACTGATACTAACACTGATATTAACACTGATACTAACACTGATATTAACACTGATACTAACACTGATACTAACACTGATACTAACACTGATATTAACACTGATATTAACACTGATACTGATATTAACACTGATATTAACACTGATACTAACACTGATACTAACACTGATACTAACACTGATACTAACACTGATATTAACACTGATATTAACACTGATACTAACACTGATATTAACACTGATACTAACACTGATACTAACACTGATACTAACACTGATACTAACACTGATATTAACACTGATACTGATATTAACACTGATATTAACACTGATATTAACACTGATACTAACACTGATACTAACACTGATATTAACACTGATACTAACACTGATACTAACACTGATATTAACACTGATACTGATACTAACACTGATATTAACACTGATACTAACACTGATACTAACACTGATACTAACACTGATATTAACACTGATACTGATATTAACACTGATATTAACACTGATATTAACACTGATACTAACACTGATATTAACACTGATACTAACACTGATACTAACACTGATATTAACACTGATACTGATACTAACACTGATATTAACACTGATACTGATACTAACACTGATATTAACACTGATACTAACACTGATACTAACACTGATATTAACACTGATACTAACACTGATACTAACACTGATACTAACACTGATACTAACACTGATACTAACACTGATATTACTTTAACACTGATATTAACACTGATAACACTGATACTAACACTGATACTAACACTGATACTAACACTGATATTAACACTGATACTGATATTAACACTGATATTAACACTGATACTGATATTAACACTGATACTAACACTGATATTAACACTGATACTAACACTGATACTAACACTGATACTAACACTGATACTACTACAGGCCCCGGTACTGATGCTAATATTGATCCTGTTATGGAACCAGCCAGAGCTCCCAGTGGCGTCACTCAGCACAGGTAAACATCACCAACGTTTCCACTGAAAGGGTTAAAACACACCGACAGCCAGGAACACAAAATACCAAGAAGCTGCAGGAAAACAAGCTCTCAGCACAGGAGGTAAACACACACACACACACACACACACACACACACACACACACACACACACAAGCATCCACAGGCAGGAAACCTTCAAACCACCCGGTCATAGGTCAGTTGGAAAATTATAAAAAAGCACAACGAGAGGAGAAGAGATGAGTAGAGGCAGCACAGAGCAAACAATGTTTTAGTGCCACGGAGCAAGGCATGAGTGTTTGCTTTGGTGCACTCCTGCCCTCTGCTGGAGAGTGAGCGAGTCACCTCATGTGGGCCACACACACTGGTCTGAGGGGGTTAGGGTTTGGAGGCGGGTCTTACAGGGACGCACCTGTGGCTGAAAGGTGGGTCGAGGCGTCAGTCTAGGAGGAGGAACAAACTGAGGAACTTTGATTGGCTGGGCGGTGGTGGTGGCCTGCACCTGAGACAAAACCACAGCAGATGTGGATCTGTGCTGCTGTTACACCGACATGTCTGTTACTGTTACTGTTACATGTCTGTGTGAGACACAAGCTGAGGCCATACGGAGCCATGAGAGTTGCTGTGATACGATTCAATGTGAGGAGCTCAAATACAATCAGAAATGTTCCAGGACAACACAGCTTATTTCCAGCATATTTGGTCATTTGAATTCATTTCCAGGTGTTTCCATAACTGGAAAACCAGTCTGTAAATTTCCAGGTTTTTTCCAGGTTTTGGACCGTTGACCGGTTCACGGTACACGGAGATCCATCCAAGGGTCTGTGTACCGACGCAGTCGCAGCTATAACATTAAAAACTATTTCTGACCGGTATCAGTGAATCGTTACACGTCTACCTGCTGCTGTTACACTGATATCTCTGCTGCTGTCACATTAGAGTCCAATCTATAGATTCCATAAGGACGTGTAGGAGACCGATTGGTTGGCTTGGTTTTAGACCTCTACTAGTCCTCCTCTGTTGTTTGGATGAACTTGTGGCTGTGTGAGATAATGTGGAGCCACAGTTTGGGTGTAAAAGGCCACCACTCACCCCGCAGCCGGCTTCCATTACAGACACAACCTTCACTGAGAGCAGGGACCCTTTAACAATGCTCGTCTACACTCAGTAGCTCTCCTCAGCTCTACAGAACACAACACGTACTGTACAGTGAGTCAGATTAGAGGAAGGCGATGATGATGCGCGGCGGTGGGAACTGGAGGGTCTTACCACCATGGCGTTCTTGGACACCAGTCGCACGGGCTCCGAGCTCTGATTGGTCAGCTTGTTGGCCACCTGCAGGTTGATGGGGGCGTTCTGCGAGTCGGGTTTGGGGATAGCTGTGGTTACCATAGCGACGGCAGGCGGGCGTTGCGGCAGGACAGAGCCGGGCAGGGCGGGCGTGGCGGCAGCTTTCAGCACCAGAGGTAGAGTCTTCGTGGTGAGGACCGGCGTGACTGTCAGGGTCTGTGGAGGGAGATTTAACCCGTTAACAGCAGGTCAGTCAGCTCGTACCTGGTAGTAACAGGTGACATCTGTTGGCAAACCGGCTTCTACTACAACTACCATACTCCTACATTTCCCAGCATGCACGCTGTGTTGCACTTTGGCTACAATGTGCTTCTCTCTGTGTGACTGATATGTTTCAGATACCAGAATAATAAAACAGACTTCTATTTCCTGCTTTTACTGGATTTAACAATGTTGAATATCAGTGATTTCAACCTACATTAATATTCATTTATTTAATTAATTTAAACATGAGGAATCTCTTGGCTAGTAAAGACTAACATCTGGAATGCCATCCAATCAAAGGATATGTAAACAGGAAGTCACTGCAATCTTCTTGCAGGGTCTCTCCTCACAAATTGACCTTCTGTTCAATATTAAATCTATATCTACATGATAGATATTATAAACAGTATTTATTGATCGTGATGTCCTGATATTGTTTCCCACCTGCTGCAGTCCTCCAGGTATCTGCTGGCTCTGCAGCAGGTTGGTCGGCTTTATGTCGCCGCCTGCTGGAGGAGTTTGGACGTGCAGCTGCAGCTTCGCCTCCGGCTCCTGTTTCACCAACAGCTCCTTCCTCAACTGCTCCACCGCCTTTTTCTGTAGGAGGAGGAGAGAGGAGGAGGAGAGAGGAGAGAGGAGAGGAGGAGGACAGAGGAGAGAGGAGAGGAGGAGGACAGAGGAGAGAGGAGAGGAGGGGGGGGAGGGAGGAGGAGAGAGGAGAGGGAGGGGGGAGAGAGGAGGAGAGGAGAGGAGGAGGGAGAGAGGGAGAAGAGAGGAGGAGAAGAGAGGAGGAGAGGAGAGGAGGAGGAGAGAGGAGAAGAGAGGAGGAGAGGAGAGGAGAGAGAAGAAGAGAGGAGGAGAGGAGAGGAGAGAGGAGAGGAGGAGGAGAGAGGAGAAGAGAGGAGGAGAGGAGAGAGGAGAGAGGAGAGTTGGAGGTTAATTGAAGACAAATTTAGAATATTTCTAACTGATGTCTAATCTTTGACCTCCAGCTGCTTTAGTTCAAACATTAATCTTGTGGTTATATATATATATATTTGTTTATTGTTGTTAATAATAAACTAAAATCTATGTTTACATTGTTGTTCAACATACAAGTAAACACAGGCTGCAGTTATTCTCTCATTGTAACATGAATCCATCCTGATGGTAGACTGTGAGTTCTGAAGCAGCAGTGTGAACGTGTCCATCAGTAACAGGCTGTGTGAGTGCAGACCTTCTGATACTGGAGCTCTGTGAACTCTTCTACACTCAGTTTATGTAATCGGAGCTATAATACAATCCAAGTTTTCCAGGACAACACACATTATTTCCAGGATATTTTGCTCATTTCAATCACTTTCCAGGTGTTTCCAGGACTGTCCAGGTTTTCCAGGTTTTCCAGGGTGTGTTGGAACACTGCCAGTCTCTGATGTTACTACAACACTGCAGCTACAGCCGTCTTCAAATAAGAAGAAACGGTACGCAGAAATGTGGAGTTCAGACAATCAGCACGCACACAAAGACTCACTGACGTATGAAACCAGCACAGAGATAAAGCACATCTGTTGCTTAGCAACACTCAACTCTCAGGCTGCAACTTAATGCAGCGACGCAGAATCAGAGAGAGGAAGCCGGCTGGAAAGTGCCCCGATTCCCTTTTAGAGCAGTTTGACCCTCACAACTTTATCTGCTGCTCAGGATGAGCTGCTTTTATCTGCCAGTGACTTTAAAGGATCAGTTCACACAAATCACAGAGGAACCCACTTACTGTTTAACCTCTGGAGGCATCTAACCCTCCAGGGTCAGTCAGATGTTCAGTGACAATCCACTGACAACAGTTAAAACACAGGGAACGTTTCAGGAGGTCATTTTTTAATCCTGTGAGCACCACAGGCGACATTTAATTCACCTTAAATAAAGAGACGTCCCAACTTCCTCTGCTGGCTAACGTTAGCTTATAAATGGACACCCACCACTACACAACACAAAGACTAAAGTCAAAGCTAACAGCTGTTAGCACCGCCTGTTAACTTTCACTAAAAACGTGATGATTCTCAGACAAGTGTTTCTGTGGGTCCATCAGTGCACCAGTGTACACACAGCAGACCGACAGGCTGCAACACTGAGAGGGTCTGACAACCACTGTTTAAAGTCCTTCAACTGGAACTGCTGCAGTACAACAGTCTGCAGGTATTTGGCCAGCTGAAACTTGTCCACAGTGAAGCTCCTCCAGGGTCTCATTCACATTCACACACACCAAGTTTCAGCAAGTCCTCCACAAAACATTTCACCTGCTTCACCTTAGTGGAGCTACAAACACTGCAAAGCCGACTGGAGGACGCCACATAAAGCTCACAGTCGCTGCAGAGGAGAGCAAAAACTACAACATAGTTACCTAAATTGGGTCCTGTCCACACACAATACGACAGTGGTACACGGTGTACAGTGGTATACGGTGTACAGTGGTGTACAGTGGTATACAGTGGTACACGGTGTACAGTGGTACACGGTGTACAGTGGTATACAGTGGTACACGGTGTACAGTGGTATACGGTGTACAGTGGTACACGGTGTACAGTGGTATACGGTGTACAGTGGTATACGGTGTACAGTGGTGTACAGTGGTATACGGTGTACAGTGGTATACGGTGTACAGTGGTATACAGTGGTACCCGGTGTACAGTGGTATGCGGTGTACAGTGGTACACGGTATACAGTGGTACAAGTGTACAGTGGTATAGGTGTACAGTGGTATACGGTGTACAGTGGTACAGTGTACAGTGGTGTACAGTGGTATACGGTGTACAGTGGTGTACAGGGTGTACAGTGGTGTACAGTGGGATATGGTGTATAGAGGAATACTGGTTGTCTGAATACACCTTAAACTGTTACGTAAGCAGTTGGGAGGACAAATACAAACAGAGTTTTCTATTTTTACTGACAGTCTGCAAACTTCACAACGACATGCAGAGACATCCTGTTGTATCTGCACACTTTCTAACCTCCATTAGAGCTCTTAAAAGCTTTAGTTCTTATTCTACTAGCAGCCGTTGTAGTTGTGCACTGATCTGGGAGCAGCAGAGTTTCACTGCCAGTACCAGTAAAATATGCAGAGTGGAGATAAAAATAGGACGAACGCTGAAAGCGGTTAAAAATAAAAAACAGCAACAAGAGTCAGAAAAATCAAAGAGCCTTCAGAAGCTGCTGATGGTTGGTGGAAATAACTGGAATCACTACATCAACATTTAAAGGATTACAGAGTCTGCTGGTCCTGGTCCTGGTCCTCCTGCCAGAGTCACACTGATGGATTACTGAACGGGACCAGGTACAGAACCAGAGGCCCCAGAGCCGCTGTATGAACTGACTGTTTACAGTTGGAGCGTCAGTCAGACGACAACAAAGACACAAAGCTACAGCAATGAGACAAAAGCTACAGCAACAAGACAAAAGCTACAGCAACAAGACACAAAGCTACTGAAACAAGACACAAAGCTACAGCAACAAGACAGCTACAGCAACAAGACACAAAGCTACTGCAACAAGACACAAAGCTACTGCAACAAGACACAAAGCTACTGCAACAAGACACAAAGCTACAGCAACAAGACACAAACTGACCGCAGAGAACAGTGGTTGCAAAATGACCACAAAGAGACGCAAGATAACTGCAAAGAGACAACTGAGTGTGTGTGTGTGTGTGTGTGTGTGTGTGTGTGTGTGTGTGTGTGTGTGTGTGTGTGTGTTACCTGTTTCTCACTGAGCGCTGTGATCTTTGCCTGAAGTTCGTGGAGCTGCTTCTTCAGATCTGCGTTCTGAGAATAAATCAGATTAATATCAGATTAATAAATCAGATTAATAACTCAGATACCAAACATTAATTAATAAGTCGTTAAGCCGCCGTTACCTGAGGGTCCTGCTTCATCTGGGCAACCAGTTTCTGCAGAAGAAGAAAACAGACAGTCAGTGACACCTGCTGGACAAAGCGAGGAACTGCACCCACATCTGTTATTATCTGTTATTGATTATCTGTTATTGATTACCTGTTATTATCTGTTATTATGTTATTGATTACCTGTTATTATCTATTATTATGTTATTGATTACCTGTTATTATGTTATTGATTACCTGTTATTATCTGTGATTATCTGTTATTGATTACCTGTTATTATCTGTTATTGATTATTTGTTAATGAGTTTATCTGTTATTATCCGTTATTGATAACCTGTTATTATCTGTGATTATCTGTTATTGATTACCTGTTAATGAGTTTGTTATTATCAGTTATTATTAGTATTATTATTATAATAAAGTAAAGAAATTATTTAAAAGTCACAACAAATGAATAAATAAATAAAGGAATGAATGTACATCAAATATTATATCATTTAAATATTATATTCTCAGTCTTTTTGGATTTCTCCACATTATTTTATTCCATTTTATTTGAACCTGTGAGCTGCTCTCATGTCAAATTCTATGGTTTTTATTAAAAAGTTCTTTACCCTCAATGTTCCTCTTTAATGTGAAATACTTTAAAAACACTATATAATGCAGGATATATGTGAAAATAAGATATGTGGAGTTATTAAACCCCACTATACAAACTCTAATGAAAAGAAAAAGCTAATGAATTCAGAGGTTCTCATTGGAGCCTCCTGGAGATAATGTGAGTCTGAGCACAGCAGAAAATCCGATTTATGATAAACGTCAGTAAAATAACAGATTAAACAAGATTATGTGTCCACTAACTGCTCCGTCGGATAATACAATAATGAGCAGTCATTAAAGAACCGCTCTAACAGGAAGTGAGTGTTTGTGTGACTTCCTGAACAAACTGAATAAAAGTGTTAATTATCACTCACACTGAAGAGCCTCATAAACTCTGACCTGTAATCCACCTGAGACTCATCTGACTCGTCTGACTGTGAGTGAGTGCTGTCCTTTATTCTGAAGAATGGTGCATTAAAAAGAGCGGGAATTGATACTGATAATGATTTAGTTGCCAATATGGATGTAAAAAAGGTCTTAAAATTCAGTCATATTAATCTTAAGAAACCCTGAGACAGAAATCCCTCGACAGCAACAACAACAGCAACAATAATTATTTATTATAAGTTCTTTACATGCTTGAACCAGGAATCAAACACGTGTAATTCAATTATATTGGTGGACACTGTCAGCAGTGCAGTTACTGACATTGTTTCACTTCCAGTATCTGACTGAGGCTGATTATTAGAAATGCTGCTTAAAGCTGTGTGCTGTGTATTTCCTGCTCTGTGTTACAGAGGGATTATTAACAGATTATTAACAGAAGGAGAAATATTGGACTGATATGGGATCAGCAGACACTCATCAGACTCTTCTCTCAGGAGTAACTGTATTACTTTACCAATGACTGCATATCACAGTGATTAGTTACCAGCTAACTAACTAATAACGAACTTATTAACCCTCTACGGACAGATGTGTGACTTTAGTGTCGCTGTGGGACAATGTATCCAGTTATTAGTTATTAATATTAGTGAGTTAAACTAATGATTAAATGCCCCCCCGGTTTTAAGAGTCCTCTTTGCCCCCCTTCAGAAGTCCAGCAGTTGGTTCCTATGTGACAGGATGTGTCTGCAGACGGACTCGTGGAACCTCAGCGTTACCTGATGGATCTGGATCTCCACCTTCAGAGCCTCCTGTAACGTCTGTAGTTCCATCATGGATCCAGTCAGTCTGCCAGCCGATCGATCAGCCTGCACGCACACACACACACACACGCACACACACACACATATGCACACACACAGAGACATCAGCAGAAATCACAGCTGTTGTCATAGCAACGGGAGGTACAGCCATATAAGGACCTCCTGTGTGATGCTGCTAATAATACGTCAAGGTCAAACAAGGTGACAGGAAGTCAGACGCAGTAAATACACAGCAGGTTCTTTGTTGTTGTTTACCTTAACACCGTCTCCAGTAGGAAAACCATCCAACTGAAGCATTAAAGTGCCGCTGCAGACAAAACAAACACATTGACATCATTAATAAACAGGTTGTATGGAGCCAGAATTCAGCTGGAAACACACTGAATGTTATTAAAGTAAAAATAGAAATGGCTTTAATACGTTATTAATATAAACCGTACAGGAGAACTTATTGTTAGTGAAACAGGTTTAAAACAGAATATCTCTGGTTTGTGAGGTTTGTGGACTGTAAATAAAATGCATGTTTATATTTGTTTATGTTTATAACAGTTATCAATAAATACATTAATACAATTTCCTATAATAATATAAAAATACACATTACGTATAACAACTCAAAGAGGTTGAACGTTATTATTATGATTATTAACACAGTCAATGTAACTTATTATGATTATTTAAACCATAAAAACCTTTTACTGTAACTCTTAAAACAGATTATGTAACTTTATGATTAAATGTTATTATTTTTATTATTATTATTATTATTATTATTATTATCATCAAACTAAACCTTTAACTTTACTGTAATATTTACAATTATTCTGTTTATTATCAAATTATTATTACAATAGAGGTTACGGACAACTTTAATTCAGGACTCACCACCTGGCTGTGAGACTGGACTCCACCCCTCTGTGCTGCCCTGTAACACATAACAAACACACACTGTTACACATATGAAAACACACACACTGTTACACATAAACACACTGTTACACATAACAAACACACATTGTAACACATAAACACACTGTTACACCTAACAAACACACACTGTTACACATAACAAACACACACTGTAACACATAACAAACACACACACTGTTACACCTAACAAACACACACTGTAACACATAACAAACACACACACTGTTACACCTAACAAACACACACTGTAACACATAACAAACACACACACTGTAACACATAACAAACACACACTGTAACACATAACAAACACACACTGTAACACATAACAAACACACACACTGCACATAACAAACACACACACACTGTAACACATAACAAACACACACACACTGTTACACCTAACAAACACACACTGTAACACATAACAAACACACACTGTAACACATAACAAACACACACACTGTAACACATAACTAACACACTGTAACACATAACAAACACACACTGTAACACCTAACAAACACACACTGTAACACATAACAAACACACACACTGTAACACATAACAATCACACACACTGTAACACATAACAAACACACACTAACACTGTAACAAACACACACAGTAACACATAACAAACACACACTGTAACACATAACAAACACACACACTGTAACACATAACAAACACACACACTGTAACACATAACAAACACACACACTGTAACACATAACAAACACACACTGTAACACATAACAAACACACACACTGTAACACATAACAAACACACACACTGTAACACATAACAAACACACACACTGTAACACATAACAAACACACACTGTTACACACAGACTTTAGCATTTAAACATTAAACTGTGTTTAACATGAACTCATCTCCAGCTCTACTTTACATTGGAACAAGGCTGAAGTTGTATTTGGTGTTCTATAAAGTTTATATGATCTGTATTTATATGACTTATTGTTATTTACAGGATGTAAGTTCTGAGATAAAGAACAACTTATCTGTACTACAGCTGCAACAGTTACTCCATTACTATTAATATTACTGTGTCTTTTATAATGAATGTATTGTTTTATTCTGAACACTTTGTGCTGTTACAATAAACCTTTCTTACTCTTTTCTGACTTTTTAAAGATAAAATTCAAAATTAAATATATAAAACCACGTGTGTATGGATTCAAGTTATTGTTTATTAATAATAGATTAATATTAATAACTAATCTTCAGTGAGTAAAGTTATTACAGTATTCTGCAAAAGGCCTAAACTTTAATTCTGGTTGTAAATAAGTTATTGAAAAAGTCAATGTTGTTGTTGTTTGGTAAATATAATAGTGTTATATATATATATATATATATAAAATATCTTTGTCATAACTTCCACAAAGCTCCAGTAAACCAGAGCAGAACCGGTGAACATCAGTAGCAGCTCTCTGTCTCACTGCACTCAAACACAATTCAACTCAATCACTTAATAATTAACTGATCTCCCGCCGGGATCAATCAGCTCTTTCTGATTCTGGTTCTGAAACTGAGTTCATGTGTTCAGTAAACACAAACTTCTCTCAGATACACAAACCAAATGACCAGAGAACCAAAGAACCAAAGGACCAGAGAACCAGAGAACCAAAGGACCAGAGAACCAAAACGGAGAACCAAAGAACTAACGGACCAATATATATATATATAACCATATACTGATTATATATATATATATATATATATATATATATATATATATATATATATATATATATATATATATATATATATAATGATCAATTAACAGAGTGAGAGATCAGATGGAAGTTAAGGTCTTTTACTTTGGTAGGACCCATTGTTGTTGTTATTATGTCATATCTATTATATTATCATCATTATCATTATTATTATATTATTATTATCATTATTATTATTATATTATTATTGTTATTATTATTATAATATTATTATCATTATCATTATTATAATATTATTATTATCTTATTATTATAATATTATTGTTATAATATTATTATTATCATTATTATTATATATTATTATTGTTATAATATTATTATTATCATTATTATTATATATTATTATTGTTATATTATTATTATAATATTATTATTGTTATAATGTTATTATTATTATAATATTATCATTATTATTATATTATTATTGTTATAATGTTATTATTATTATAATAATATTATTATTGTTATAATATTATTATTATTATTATATTATCATTATTATTATATTATTATTGTTATAATATTATTATTATCATTATTATTATATATTATTATTGTTATATTATTATTATAATATTATTATTATATTATTATTGTTATAATGTTATTATTATTATAATAATATTATTATTGTTATAATATTATTATTATTATAATATTATCATTATTATTATATTATTATTGTTATTATTATTATTATAATATGATTATTATTGTTGTTGTTATTGTTATTATGATTATGATTATAGAAATGATCCAGAGAGGGTCGAAGGTCATGTTTGACGGATTAGAACAGGTCTAACTCCTGGTTCAACCCTCTGAAGTCAGTTTAAAGACTCTGAGGGTCGACACACAAACACAATAAAGTTCTTATTTACATTTATTACATTTATTAGCGACCTCTCTCTATGTGGAGATATTGATTATTGATATTGAAGACTTCAACTCATCTGTAGGGACGTCCCAGTAAAGTGTTTCTGGCCCTGATCGGATCCTTTAATATTGATTATCTGCTGATACAGAGTCTGATCCAATACTTTACATTTCCCTCAAAGATTAAATATGTATCTGAAATACAGCCTCCTCTAAAGCTGATCATCTTAAACTGCCAACAGTCCACTTAATGGACTCTCAGTGACACTTTCCATCAGTCGGACCCAAACCAACGAGCTGCTCCTCGTCCCCGAGACCAAAGGATCAGAGGATCGTTGCAACAGGGACGTTTTCTCTTGTAACACAGGAAGTCTCTGACCGCTGCACCGCTGCATATGCTAACTGTACTAGCTGCTATTGGCTAGTTAGCGGTGCTATTAACTGTCGACTGGGAGCTGGAAGGACCGGGGGGGGGGACCACAGAACCAGAGCGGGGCCCGAATGAGCCACAGAACCAGAGCGGGGCCCGAATGAGCCACAGAAACAGAGCGGGGCCCGAATGAGCCACAGAACCAGAGCGGGGCCCGAATGAGCCACAGAACCAGAGCGGGGCCGAATGAGCCACAGAACCAGAGCGGGGCCCGAATGAGCCACAGAACCGGAGCAGGGACCGAATGAGCCACAGAACCAGAGCGGGGCCCGAATGAGCCACAGAACCAGAGCGGGGCCCGAATGAGCCACAGAACCAGAGCGGGGCCCGAATGAGCCACAGAACCAGAGCGGGGCGGCCCGACGGAGGCCGGCTGATGTCCAGCGGCTCCGACCAGGACTCTGACTCTGAGGATGAAGACCCGGTGGGTTCAGGCAGCAACAGGAGACGAGGAGGAGGAAGAGGAGCCAGTTTGTAGCCAGTTAATTCGTCAGTAACTGTTAACGTTATCAATCATCCATCGTATCGATCAGTCTGATCAGTTTCAGTTATTTATTCCGTGTGATGTTCAGAATCATCGCTGTTTCTGTTAGCGTCTAACAGACTCACATAAACACACTATAATCAATAAATCAATACAGTAATATCAGAAACAGAAAGTCGATCACTGGCTTTATCTAACGACTGCAGTGGACCAGGACTGATCAGACAGAAGAAGACTCTTGAACTACAGAAACACTGATTGTACAGCGACGTTACAGAGTGACACTTCTCCTCCCTCAGAAACAATCTTTGACGGCAGCGAGATGTAAACAGCGACAGTGTCGACCGCCGCGGTCTGAGTATCTACAGCTGGAGAGTAACTGAGTACATTTACTCAACTACTGCCACTGTCTGAAACTACTTTTATTACAATATAAATGCTGTCAGCATCAGTTACTTTGACTATTTAAAGTTTAATAAGCTTATAAAATGCTCTTTTACTCAGTAGACTGTGCTGTTTATACTTCTTCTACATTCATGTAATTTAAAGTACAATACATGAGTTTTTATTTTCTTTCTGCTTGAAGATTTATTTTTTTTAAACTTCTCTCATCAATGAATTCATTGATTAACTGTCTGGTAACTTTAACCTTCTGTTCAGTATGTAGCAAATGGTTGTAACACATTGCAATGTGCTTGTTAGCAGACATTAGGACATTGTATGTGTTTACTTACAGTATAAGTTTATATCATTACAGCTGTTCATGATCAGTTTATACCGCTGACAGCAGTTGTTAATAAATACATTAATAATCACTAATATCTGCTTAAAACTACATTATAGTCTGGAATATACCACTTATTACCTGTCAATATACTGATTAAATACTGATTATACTGGATCAATAATGGGATTAAAGTGGTACCAACTATCCTGCAGTAAAAGTACACACTGATTGGACTGTTAATCAATAATCAATATTAGAGCAACACTGTACTGTACTTTATATACAGTGAGCTACTTTAGTCCACTGGTTCCCAACATAGGGGTCGGGGCCCTCCAGAGGGTCGCCACATAATCTGAGAGAGGAAACAACAATCCGCCACTGGAGCTAATGCTAACCATCCTGTTAGCCGCGCTGATAACTTACATCAGAAGATAAACAATAATAAAAACAATGACGACGAGAGAAAACAGAGAAACGCAGGAAATAGTCCCCAAAGTTGTATTCATGTAACAAAGTATAAATACTTTATTACTGTTACTCTTCTTCAGGTATTTCTACTCGAGTATTTCTCTTTTCTCCTCCACAGTTTTACAGAGTTCATTAGAGTACTTTTTACTTTAGAGTACATTTCAGAGCCTGTACTTTTTCACTTTTACTTGAGTAAAGAATGAGTACTTGAGTACTTTTACACAAATATCTGCACTTCTGAACGAGCTTTAGCCTCCTCTGGAGGAATCAGAGTAAAAACACAATGTTTAACAGAAATGTAGTCGATTACAACAAAGTACAAGTACCTCACAATGATGTACAAGTAGCTCAGATTAATAGTGGAGGGTAGGAGTTTGGGTAGAAGTACTTTCCAGCACACTGAGAGGTTATATGATGACCTCTAGGACTAACTCCATGTGTCACTGGTGGAAAAGATGAGCTCCATTCAGAAGCTCATAAACAAAAGTGCCGTTTTAAGAGCAGCCTATGTGGAGCTCCTGCTGTATGGAAACGCTGCCGGTTAATTGGAGTAATTGCTCCCTGGGTGGGACATGAAGTTGTCTGGATAAACTTCCATCAGCATCACATGCCGCTGCAGAGGCCCTCGAAAAGGCGAGAAATGAAGCTAAAATGGAGGGTTTTCAAGATGAGAGCCGTTAAGTGCTTCAGCCGCGGGAGTGGAAACACTGAAAAGTGTGTTTTTGTTTCGGCGGTGAAATAAATGTTTTATAACCTCCTTATAACCCCGCTATCTACGGCCGTGTGGACGTCCAGCATCCCCTTACACATCCATCGTCCTCACAACGCGGTAAACTAGCATGTTCCGGCGGATTAACGGGTCCTAAGTGTCGGTGAAACCCCCATCCAGAGCGACCCTCACACATCCGACATTGCTCCGTGTGAGGCTGAGAAATGTTCACCGAGAACAAGTGTTAGCTGGGAGCTAACGCTAATGCTAACCATCCTGTTAGCCGCGCTGGCTAACGCTACCAGCAGCACGCTGATAACTTACATCAAAAGATAAATAATAATAAAAATAATGGCGGCGACGGGGGAGAAAACAGAGAGAGGCTGAGAAAGACATTCACGCAGGAAATAGTCCCCCCAAAAAAAGACGCCATCTTTCAGAATTATGACACCGAGCAGGCAAGTTATATCGGCCCCTTGTCCTCCAGAATACCAACTCCTAGAATAAGAAACACAGCAGCTAAAAGCCACAGAAACACACGGGAGCACAGCGACATACCGCCGGCTGCCAGGCACACACCTGCCCGCTGACACACACACGGATCCGGACGCAGAGCCGCACACAGACTGCGAACTTTCACACCAGAGAAAATTAAAGTTATGAAATTAAAAAAGCCCCAATGTGCACTTACTCAGCAGCAGTCCTCCTCTAGATTAATTAAATATATATATCTATAAGAAGCCCGATCCGCGATGGAATAACAGCATACAAACAGTCCGGCTCACTCCTTCCCGCGGAGCTTTATTTTGTTGCTGTATTTTATATTTTAGTTTTAGTAAATTTGTGTAAAAAACAGAGAAACTGAAGCTACAAAACAAGAAGAACTCTTCTTCAATCTCATTCAGCTCAGCCTCAGCACAGCACAGATCCCTGCGCGCCGGAGCTGGAGGAAGGGGCACAAAAACTACTTCCCCGTGCGGCTGATGCGCGTCAATCCGCCTCAAAGCGCTTGATATTTGCGCCAGTTGCTGTTAAAGTTCGTTAAATGGCGCCGATGAGCGACGCGAGGTGCCGGGAAAATGTGTTCGAAAAGCGGACTAGTTTTTGTGTCGGTGCTGCGAATTTATTTCACTTTGCCTAAGGAACGGCGGTGCTGCGACTCCCATTGCCTAGGGAAAAAACCCGGATGTAAACTCAGTGAAACTCTATGGAGAGAAAGTCAGCACACACACACACACACACACACACACACACACACACACACACACACACACACTGTAACTCAGTTTCGTTGTGTTACCGGCTGTGTTTGTTGCACCGGGCAGTCCGCCCTCAGTCTGCCGCCGATGAGGCTCCGTGTTCGGCTGCTCGCTGCTGGAGCTGCCGCACTGTTGCACTTTGTGGAGGAGCAGCAGCAGCAGCAGCAGGAGGAGGAGGAGGAGGAAGAGGAGGAAGAGGACAGGTGGCTCGGCCTTTTCATTCCTGCCTCAGTGTCTCAGGGTTTCCTCACAAATAAATAAAGCAGTGCTGGAATGTAAACAACAACAACTGAATATTATATCAGGATAAAAGTACAATCTTCAGTTCATTATGTAACTTTACACGTTTACTCCACCTCATTGCAGAGAGAGAATAATAATGATAATAATAATTAATAAACTGTATTCATACTTTACTTTCAGGAGGTAAAATTAAATCAAACAATTAAAATCATATAGAAGTAAATATTCACAATAAAACAGATAAAACATACTGAGTAAAGTACAATACTATCAGTAATAAAGGATTTATTATTGCATATAGTGTTTATATTTTATATTATATGTTATTATGTTGTATTTTATTATATTTTATTTACTTACTTTTTGTACTATATTCCCCTGTACATTTATATTATATCATATTACATTATATTGTATCATATTATACCATTATATTATATTATATTATATTAGATCATATTATATTATATTATAATATAATAATATATTATATTATAATATATTATTATATCATATTATATTATACCATATTACATTATATTATATCATATTATATTATGTCATATTATATTACATTATATGATATATTATATTATATCATATTATATTATATTATACCATATTACATTATAGTATATCATATTATGTTATATTATTTTATATTATATTACATTATATTATATTATATTGTTTTATATTATATTATGTTATATTATATTATATTATTTTATATTATATTATATGATATTATATTATATTGTTTTATATTATATTATATTATATTATTTTTTATTATATTATATTATATTATATTAAGACAAAAACTTATATATAATAATATAGCCTTTTCATTCCTGTATTTCTGTAACTTCCATATACAACCTTTTGTTTGTTATGCATATATCGTTATATAATTATGCATTATATAACGATAGAGTTTCCACTTTACTGGGACTATGTTTGAAGTCTTTTTAATTATAAACGTAACAATAATAATTATAATTTAACTCTCTAAAATGAGCATTTCTGTGCTGATATTATATTTTAATAAAAAATATAAAGATGATTGTTGAATGTCAATGTGAAAGTGTTCTTTACACAGAACGCAGAAGGACGGGGCGAGGGCGAGGGTGAGGGCGAGGGTGAGGGCGAGGGCGAGGTGAGGACGAGGACGAGGGCGGGGGCGAGGGCGAGGGTGAGGGCGAGGGCGAGGACAAGGGCGAGGGCGAGGGCGAGGGCGAGGGTGAGGGCGCGGGTGAGGGTGAGGGTGAGGGTGAGGGCGAGGCTGAGGGCGAGGATGGGGCGAGGGCGAGGGTGAGGGCGAGGACGAGGGCGAGGGCGAGGGTGAGGGTGAGGGCAAGGGTGAGGGCGGGGTGAGGGAGGGGAGGACGAGGGCGAGGGCGAGGGTGAGGGCGAGGACAAGGGCGAGGGCGGAGGGCGAGGGCGAGGGTGAGGGGCGAGGGCGAGGGCGAGGGCGAGGGCGGGGGAGGGGCGAGGGCGAGGGTGAGGGTGAGGGTGAGGGTGAGGGCGAGGGGTGAGGGTGAGGGTGAGGGCGAGGATGGGGCGAGGGCGAGGGTGAGGGTGAGGGCGAGGATGGGGCGAGGGCGAGGGTGAGGGTGAGGGCGAGGGCGAGGGAGGACGAGGGTGAGGGTGAGGGCGAGGAGGCCTCGCTGAGTGGAGCAGGAGTTGGTCCTCGGGCACCATGTGGTGGATGCCCACTGCTCCCAGTACTTGGGATGGAGGTTAACTGCAGAGAATGAATTACTGTGAAGGGTTTCAGTAAAGGATAACTTAGTTTCAGCCTAAATCGCCTTCGGTACAGTCTTCATCATTTTACTAAATACACAGACACACAAACATACAACTAGAAGCAAAAAGTGATTTAACTGATTGGTTTTCCTCTTCACTCTCAGGTCTTTAGTAAAAAGTGAATTATATATTATTATATATTATCTGCATTATAAAGTCTGGTGTCCTCCCAGCCTCTACTCCTGGTTAGTGTCCTTTGGCCTATTGGCTGCCAGGATCCCAGGCCACATCCATCCCTTAACCACTCTCTGATGTTAATGCTCAAATGGAATTACAGTTTAAAGTCACTATCACAGTAAATGATACATAGATTCTTTATTGTCCTTTTCAGGAAACGTGTTGCCACAGTCTGTACATACACACACATTAGCACAGGATAGACATCTGAACACAGGTAATTACACAGAACGGCTCCCGGGGAGTTCTGTTGAGTAGAGTTATGGTAGAAGGGACCAAACTTCTGCCACAGCGAGCTGGTTTGCAGACCAGTAGTACTAACCTGGTATAAATACCGGTATATGATTAACACATTCAATTATAAGAGAAACCAGTATAAAGATGTCTTTCTTCTGGATTGACCTCATCAGGGCACTTGAGAGTATCTGTGATCAATATTTCATATATTTAGTACATTTTCCATCTATTGATTGATAATTGAACTAACATCATTCTAGTGCTGATCACAGTTTGATCACCAGGAGGAGCCACTGCAATGTTAGATACCTTTATACTTCATACAACCCCAGACCCAGTCGGGGGGGGGGGGCACATACAGACAGCCTCACTCTTGATGGTATCTCCCCTGTCAGGTAACTATGAGTTGTAAGTGTCAGAGAGTAGGGAGTCATTCCCAGACAGCGCCCCCTGGCTGACGGTGCTTATCGTACATTATACTAATATAATAGAGTAATATTGCGTTCCCACAGAGAACGCCAGTTTAGGAGAATATTCGCTCTTCAGTCGGACTTCCAACAGTAGCAGGGCCGGCTCTAGGCATAGGCGATATATCTGCTGGAGGGGCGCCGCCAGTCACCCTGAAGGGAGGAAAAAACAAAAAAACAATAATAATAATTTTCGATGCCCCTTCGTGTTCTGTCTTGAAAATAATAAATATTAACAAAATAAAGAAACAGATAAACAATGACATGTTTCTCACTTGTGGTGCTGAGTCACATGACGTGTGGTCATTGGCTGCGCGCCTCAGAGGGTGAGACAGGTGTCACAGAGGTCAGGTAAAGTGACAGACAGGTCATGTTTTGATATATCTTGTGAGATGGAACAGCCGTCAAAGGCCTCGGGTGCGCAGTACCGAAAGAGAAGAAAAGAGGAGGCGGAGAAGAAGTCCCAATATAAAGTGTTAAATGTTAAATGGCGTTTTGTGTGAAGACGTTTCATTTATATTAGCTTGCTAGCTAGGCTGAAAGAAAGCAACGCGAGCTTAACACTAGAACGGCCAAAAAGTCATTTTGACCGTTTCCAAATTTATATATATATATATATATATATATATATATATACATATATATAACTTTGTTGAATGAAAAAATGCAATACTGCTGTTACCTGACTTTTCCTAAAAGCGTGTGTATTTAATGTAGAGTAAGCCTTCCCACACTAACACTGCAGAGGAAGGAAGATCAGGAAACCTCCAGACTGTCAGCGAGGACTCGAGGGAACAGACTCTCTCAGGGACAATGATAGGTTCAAGGGATTTTGTGGACTTCGTCGCCCTGTTTGCCGGTGAGGCATCATCTTTCTGTTGAGTCCCCCAAACTGATGGCTGATGGTTTGAGACTGTGACCCCACTGAGTTTCCACACGGGACACCAGTGGGCCAATGAGGGGTTGAGTGACACATTTCTCACTTTCTAACGGCTGTTTCATTTTCTACAAGCTCGGAGGAAGGTGCAGCGTTCCCGTGGTACTGTGACACCGGGTCAGTGTGAGCAGAGCAGTCCCCTGTGTCAGCTCCAATACTGTTGGTCTGTATAATAGGTTGTTCCCTTATAAACAACACAATGAAAGGATAACAACAGATAGTACACACCAATACGTACAATCAGCTCACATATATGTGTGAGCTGATTGTACTTACGTATAAAGTCCATAGAATAAATATATCTTCGCCACCGCCAACACGTGTACCGAGGGAGTTTCGTTGCAATGCATTGTGGTTCAGAATAATAGTTTCAATAGAGCCTGAATGAAAGAATCCCAGTAACACTCTTTATTGTATACAGTGCGTATATTTCATTTATTCTAGAGGTCTATTATATTTTTATTGTTTATGATATCTTTATTTTGTCTTTGATTATATTTGCTGTTTGTACCTCACCTGATGCTGTTTCTCCTCCAGGGGATCAATAAAGACTTGCAGTCTTCCCTTTTAAAGTGTTTAGGACTGTGATGATGTCTACCTGCTCTGTACAGTAACTTCCTGTCCTCCTCAGTGGAGCTGTTCCATCTGGTAGACTGGCCGTCACTGAATCTACGTTATGGAAGCTCAACGTGATGGAAAGTCATTATAACGAGAAACTTTCTCAAAATATGGAACTAGTTTCACAAAGTCATTATTTTAAGATACTAAGTGAAAATATGGAGAAAGTTTCTTATTAAACTGACAGAATCCTTAATCCTCTTATATTATTATTGATCACAGTGTATATTATTATATTATTATTGATCACAGTGTATATTATTATTATAATATTATTGATCACAGTGTATATTATTATATTATTATTATTGATCACAGTGTATATTATTATTATATTATTATTGATCACAGTGTATATTATTATAATATTATTATTGATCACAGTGTATATTATTATTATTATTATATTATTATTGATCACAGTGTATATTATTATTATATTATTATTGATCACAGTGTATATTATTATTATATTATTATTGATCACAGTGTATATTATTATTATATTATTATTGATCACAGTGTATATTATTATTATATCATTATTGATCACAGTTTATATTATTATTATATTATTATTGATCACAGTGT